TTGTAAAATCAAACATTGACCACCACTTAATCTTAGCGATTAGCGGAGATCCAACCGATGGATCATAATGAAGTTTTAGTATGTTGTTCTAGAAGCACAATGTGGACTTTAGGAAGTTACGGATCAGAAGTCTGATAAGTGGATCTTTCGGTTTAGATTTCTAAGGTTGTGGACCCTACTCTTGATCTTGATCGACGGTTGACTTTTTAGTTAACTAGCCTGAGTTCTTCTAGCATGTTACTGATCTTAGAGTGTTGTTGACATTCTATGGAGCTTATTGGGCTCAGCGTGATGACGTGTCCTTGTTTGACACGTGCCTCGATTTACATACTAGTGGTGCCATATTGTGTATACTTGGTTATTAAATGTGATTTCTATTGAATTGTTGTTTTTATTTTTAGGCATCGATTTATGTGATTTGATTGTGAATTGGAAATATTTATGAAAGGTGATTTGACGTGCATATTTGAAATGTGGTTTGATTTGTATGTTTGGCATGATGTGATGAAATGTGAGGGCTAATAGTGGACTATGAACCCATTGTCATGGGGTTTGTTGCTTCGAAACTTGTTTCACATATTGTATCATTATTTCATTTCTCGCTTCGTTGAACCGTTCTAATTTTGTACATTGTGCTTTGTTCCATTTCTTGTTTCGTTAAGCTTTTGTATTTTCAGTACTTGTTTCATGTCTTCTTCTTCGAGCGTTGCTATATTTCTTGGACTTCCACTCGATTCCGTTAGTGATCTGAAACTGGGTTTCCACTGGGGTTCCGTTGAGTGGTATGGTTCCTTGCTCCGTCTGGATTCCGTTGAGTGATCCAGAATCTTATCCAGCTTGAATTTCATTGAGTGGTTCAATATGCATTGTACTCTGCTATTCCGTTAAGTGGTCCGAAATCGTATCTTCTCGAATTCTGTTGAGAGATACGAAATCCCTTCAACTCCGCGATTCTGTTGAGTGGTCTGGAATTTTATCCTGGTCTAGATTCCATTGAGTGGTTCGGAATCCCTTTTGGTATGGATTTCGTTAAGCAGTCCGAAATCGCATCATTTGACTTGTTGGTTCCTTAGATTCGATTTCAGCTTTAGAGATGTAAGCTTCGGCCGAACTGTGTCGCTCTAGCCCTGCATTTCGGTGTATGATACGTGTTAATGATTGATGTGATTGTGGAATAATGTTGGTTGTGGTTGTTGTCATTATGATTAGACTCATTGACCAATGTGGCTAGAGATTATGTTGCGCTTCATCGAATGTTCCTCATGATGTTGCATGCCTGTTGTGTGGTATTATGTTGAGACATAGTGATTTATGTGATGATTGTTAGAGGGTAATGAAAGACGAACTACGAATGACTTAATCCCTGTTTAGGATACGTAGACAGTATAACGAGGAGGTTAGATGCAACCATAAAGTATACGAAAAATTATTACGCATTTGGATCTCGAGTTATGCTTTGCCCATATCCTGGAAGCGGGGTATGTTAGATATACGGATACTTGGTGACGTCACGTGTTGATCCTGGACGTATGTCAGGATTGGGGCGTGACAACATCAACATCAACTAAGGTTGCGATGAGAACTCTCCTCAATCAGGACATCAGCAAGCATATTAGAGGGTTCTCAGCCGAATCGACTCCCATGTTCCTCGCAAACTCGCCCGTGCCAAACCATGGGTAGCACTGTTCCCTTCATGTCGAATGAAACTTGTCATTGCATGAACAAAACTTCACAGGAGAATACGATTATCATTGATGATAGGACCCAAAATTGAGTGATCATCGCCCTCCCCACTCATTGCCGCAAGGGTCAAGTTGGAATCCCCTTCGAAAAAATCCCTGAGCTGCATGAAACTATTTCCTGAGTAAATTGCAAGGCTCGCCGAGCTGCCAAGAGCTCTACTTGCAGCGTCGAACCGACATCTTCCTCAACAGCCGCAAGACCGGTCAAAAATTCACCACTACAGTTGCAAATAATCACCCAAACGCCACCTTCCCTAGATCTCTCATCCCAAGCACCATCGAAATTACACTTAAGAAATATGTGTCGGGAGGAGACCACTTTTGTATGGTTTGCATCGATACCATTTTGCTAGGGAAGTGATAGTGCCTAAAAGCAAGCATCCATTCCTCATCTCTCAAAAACTCATTTTAGGACAATTAGAATTATAGTTTAGTTGAAGCTATCGAAATGAGATTTCTCCATTTATGAAGCCCCATTAAGATTACCATACCGCCAACTAAAGTACTACCCATATAAATAATTAATAGGTCTATTTAGTGATTATGATTATAATGGATTAATTAATAGGTCTATTAAGTGACTATGATTAGATTGAGATGAATAATTCAATAGATTTAATGTATGTCCGAGACAATAAATAGATGTCAACTCAATTTTTCTCCTATGATATTTTTTTTTGCTTCAGCATGCTATGAATTTATTGCATGTTTACGTAAGGAAAATGAAATCAGAGGAATGAGAATTGTACTCATTTCAAATGATTTAAGCGTTTGCCAATGCTCTAGGAATCAACAAACAAGTGGGACCCATTCGAAATCAGGAGTCCCAATCCTGAAATTCCCATAATTGAATTCGTAATATATATATATGTGTCATTCGGATTCTTGGGATTGATGACTTTCCGGAATCCAGCTTTAGTACTAAAATTGCTTTAATTTTTAGGAAAACTAATAGAAATAATTTGAAAACTTTGAATTTTAACAATAAGGATAAAATAAAAGGTAAAGTGAATAGTACAAGAATTGACTTTTTAGTATAAAAATGTGGTTTTTCGTTAAAGTTCCCCTAATTTTTTTGGTAATTCTAGTATACCCTTTTCACTTCACCTCCCAACCCCAAATGATAGCCGTATTTCTCTCTTCGCAAATCACCACCGATCCAAATCTAGTGCATTAGTAAACAACTTATAAGAAATCAATCTCATTTTTATTCCAATTTCAGATAGTTTAGTAAACAAATTTGATAGGATTTTGATTATGATTCCTTCTTATTCTAACTCCTTCGTAATTCAATTTCTCCTCAATTCAATTTCTTTAATTTGATTACATATTAGTAAACCAGTCATTAGTAAGTTATCTAATTCAATCTCTTTTCATCTTTCTCTTTAACGTCTCATTTTTTTCTCCTCATTTTTTTTCTTCCTCACTATCTCAAGGTTGACTCTCATGTAATCCTAGTGAGGTTGGCTACCACCAAATTATATCGGCCTACATCTAATATGATTGTTTTTTATTTCGTCGGTATTAGATTTGGGTTAACATGATGAGGTAGATAAATAGAGGAAAGATAAACAAAAATAGATTAAAGAAGATAAATGATATTGACCCTAAAAACTATATAGCCTACGTGGTGTATAAGCTGAGTACAAAAAGTTAACAACATCTTTCTGTGTCCTTGAATATTGATGTGGGCGTATTAATTCGCTATCGAGTTCAACTGAACGAATACTTCTGGGTGTGGTGGTGTGATGGAATGCGCTTTTGACTTCTGAATTAGGCAACCTTGACTAAGGAAGGAACACTCTCAGCCTAAGTTCTAAAACCCGAAGACAAAGCTATGCAAATCACTGCGAAGTTCTAGATCATCCACACCAGGTTTGCAGCCTCAACTATATTGGTGAAAATATAGGTCCACTGAATAGGTATCAAACTATAGAGGCAAAAATACTCAAAAGATATAAGCATCTTTATGGTAAAAATGGTCCAACCGTCTGAATGCTAAACTTTAAATATAACAGGTAACAGATAACGTCACGTGTCGATCTTGAATGTATCTCGAAATCGAGTCGTGATAGTAATCCCAACCTAAATAATTATACTTGCTTGGTAATTATCCCAACCTGAATAATTATACATGCTAATCATCCTTGTTGTTTCTCCAATATGGCATGGATTCAATCTACTTGTTTGACACCCCTTCTAGGTTTTGTCCTCATCTCTAAGCTCACAATGTATTACTCCCAGATAATTACTATCATAATTAAGACTGATAGTAATATCTAAGAAAATATTAATTCATTCAACAACTTCCATTTAAACGGACTGATAATGCAAAATTTGGTATAAACAGAAATATAAAGAAGAGGAAGGAAAAAAAAAAAAAAAGAATGGATGGATGGTAGGAGGAGGAAGAGTCACCGACGAGAGAACGTGGGTAGTCCTCTTATGGGTTCCTTCTATGTATTTTTTTTTTAAACAAACGATATTATCTACATTGAGGAAGAGGGGGTAGGCCTTAGCCTCACAATCGGCTAGTAATAATGTGGTTCAAATTCGTATTTGACGAGAATCGAACCTAAAACCTCTCACTTACAAGGGAAGAGGAATACCACTAGACTATAGTACTATGTAGTAGGTTCCTTCTATTTTTAATTTAAAAAGGATAAAGAAAAAGAAAGAAATTTGAATAAGAAAGTAAAGCAACGATTGTCGTCTATAATATTTGAATTCAATATTTAGGTAAAAAATGAATACTGAGTATCACGAGACCAAATATTATAAAATTCAACAAGATAACTGAAAGTTGTAATATTCTCAAAATATGCTATTTCGTAAAGAGAATATTCTAAGCATATGATGTTTACAAACTCTACATTCTACCGTAAATAAAGTTTTTTACCTTAGAAATACTTAGATCCACTTTTGTATTTATCTCATTGGAATTTCTAGAATCATTGAATTTGCACACTAAACGATGTGTCATCATTTATTTTTATAAGTGAACCCAAATTTAAACCAATCACACATTGCCATGTTATTTCACGATGCAACATTTATGACGCCGCCACAAACACACACCCCTATCCACCAATAAAATTTCTATAATATGCAATTCAAGAGTTAAAATTTAACCATGGTTAGGGTGGGAAAAAATGTTGGGTTAGGGTTACGTTGGGAATAAATACTTAGGAGAGGAAAGGCCCATGCCCTTGTTCTATTTTATAATTTTTGGTATTTGGGATACCATTGTAGGTTGTGAGAAGTTTTGTTTTTGAGAAAAGGGGCCAGTTTTGGGGATTTTTTAGATTTGGGCTAAGAAGGAGGGGCAGAAAAAATAAAAAAAAAATTGGTGAAGGAGGTCCGTCCATGGTGTCTCTCTGCGATTCAAATTCCTCAGCCAGCAACCAGCGTAGCTCACATAATAAGGTGATTAAACTTATCTCTGAATCTAGGGTTTTACTAAAATTTAGTGAATTTCGTGCACTGAATCACTGATTCTAGGGTTTCATTTCCGACTTTAATTTATCAAATACGATTTTTTTTGGAGCCGAATTGGAACTGATTGAGTTAGATCCATGGCTGTGATTTCTGATTTCAATTCTCTGATTTGGATTGTGCTTTTTAGTTTCATGGATTTTGCATCTGTGTAATTATGTGCTGAATGTTTGTTTGAGCTAATTATCACTTCACTGGTCAATTTTGAACCTCAGAGTTAAATTAGACTCATATATCGTCATGAATTGAGTATGAATTAATATTTTGGTTATGTTGTGGTTGCGTGGTGAGAACGAGGGTCTCGAAGAAGCTCGAAAAAGAGTTGTTTTTTTGGATATCTATCTCGATATGCATTTGTTGTTGGATTCTTGTGTTTGCATACAACTTTCATGACAATTTTCTAACTGAATTTTATCTAATTTGAACAATAAGGTTGCTGAATTGCTAGAGTAATTTGGGAGCATGGGCAAGTAGCGGTTGTAGTCTTGGCTTTCTTGTAGCTTTGGGGATTTTTTTATACTGCTTTAGGATTAAAAAAAGGCTTCAAGCTCAAGTGCTGTAAAAACAGTAAGCAAACATTAGAGAGGACGAAGATAGAATAGGAATATGGAGTGCAACAAAGATGAGGCGGCTAGGGCAAAAGAGATTGCGGAAAGAAAGTTCACAGCAAAGGATCTTATGGGGGCAAAGAAGTTTGCCTTGAAGGCTCAAAATTTGTTTCCGGGGTTAGAGGGGATGCCCCAGATGTTGGCAACCCTCGACGTGCATATTGCGGCGGAGAACAAAATAAATGGGGAGGCTGATTGGTACGGGATACTTGGTGCGGATCCAAAAGCAGATGATGAGGCAGTGAGGAAACAATATAGGAAACTAGCTCTTATGCTTCACCCTGATAAGAACAAGTCTATAGGAGCTGATGGAGCGTTTAAGCTACTATCAGAAGCATGGAGTTTGTTGTCTGATAAATCTAAGAGAGTAGCCTATGACCAGAAGAGGAGAGTACACCAAAGGGTAGCGACTGCAAGTGGGAGTTCACAGGCTCCTCCAGGGGCCAATGGTTTCTACAATTTCACAAAAGGTGCAACGTCAGGCGCACAGACGCAGAAGGTTAATACACAGACTCAGAAGAGTACCACACAGGCTCAGAAGGGTACCTCACAGAATCAGAAGGGTACCTCATGGGCCAGCCGCTCTTCAGCTTCTGCTTCATCTCAAAAACCAAGAGCTAATACCTTTTGGACAGTGTGTCATAAATGCAAGATGCAGTATGAGTATCTCAGGATTTATCTTAATCATAATCTTCTTTGCCCGAATTGCCATGAACCATTTCTAGCAGTAGAAATAGCTCCACCACCTACAAATGGTGCCAAGTCAGCTCCACCAAAGCATGAAACAGCTGATAGAATGGGTGTTGGATCTGCTGGTTTCAATGGTAATCAATCGTACAACCAAAACAGCTTCCAATGGGGTTCATTCTCTAAAGCATCAGGTGCTTCCACGGCTACCCAAGCCGCAAGCGTGGTTAGCCAGGCATATGAGAAAGCCAAGAGAGAGCGCGAGCAGGCTCAAGCAGCATTAAAAAGAGAGGAGTTGCGGAGGAAACATCAATCCTCCAGGAAGGCAAGCGGTGCTTCATCTACAGGGTACCCTAATGCTGCCAAGAGAAGAAGAGGAATGGAAGATTTTGGTGTCAGCAGCTATGGAAGGGATGTCACAAATCAAATGGGTGTGGGAGCTGGAGGAGCTGGAACAACCAATTTTTCTGGACCAAATGGAAGCGCCAGGCCTAGTATCACAAGGGATATCTCCCAGATTGATATTCCAAATTTACTAAGGGAGAAGGCTAGAAAAGAAATTCGGAAGAAACTAAATGAATTCACTGTATCCAAGACTGCAGCCAAAGAGACGGTCAATGGAAATGAGAGAGAAAAATCTTTGGGAAACATTGATGTGCATAGAAATCAAAAGCAGTCTGGTGAACCAGTGGACACAAAGAATGGCTCTTCTGACATGAAAGGTTCTGGCATTTCTGGTGTCCGTTCAGATGCAGACATATTGTCGATAAATGTTCCGGATTCTGATTTTCATGATTTTGACAAGGATCGAACAGAGAAGTGTTTTGAAGATAATCAGGTCTGGGCTGCATATGATAATGATGATGGCATGCCAAGGTTTTATGCGTTAGTTCAAAAGGTGATTTCTGTGGATCCTTTCACAGTGCGGATCAGCTGGCTGAACTCGAAAACAAATAGTGAACTGGGTCCTCTTAACTGGGTATCCTCTGGCTTCTCAAAGACGTGTGGGGAGTTCCGAGTAGGGAAATATGAAGTGAGTAATTCACTTAATTCTTTTTCTCACAGAGTTCGGTCAACAAAAGGTCCACGAGGGGCTATCTGCATATATCCCAGGAAGGGGGATGTTTGGGCACTATACCGGAATTGGTCTCCAGACTGGAACGAACTGACAGCTGACAATGTCATTCACAAGTATGATATGGTCGAAGTTGTTGAAGACTTTAGTGAGGAGCAAGGTGTACTTGTGACACCCTTGGTGAAAGTGGCTGGCTTCAAGACAGTATTTCACCGGCACTTGGATCCCAGAGAGGCCAGGAGGATCCCTAGAGAAGAGCTGTTTCGGTTCTCTCATCAAATCCCTTCATGCTTGATCACGGGTCAGGAAGCTGCAAATGCTCCAAAGGGTTGTCGGGAGCTGGATCCAGCTGCTACTCCGTTGGAGCTTCTTAAAGTAATAAATGACATTAAAGAGGAAGATATGATGGAGATTGATTACAAGTGCCAGCAAGGCGATGTAGCAGAGGATGTTGAGAATAATACTGGCATCTAGATACAGCAGCGAATTCTAGTCCTGTCACGGAAGAAGCGAAAAGGGGCTAATTTGTGATATATGCAGATAGAATTTGCTGACTTATAAATTTTGGGGCTATGCAGCATGAGTTGGTGAATTTTTGTGGAAAGTTTGATAGGTGAACATCTCATCCATGTGCCCGGGGGGTTGAAGCAGGAAACCCTGAAGGTCCCCCTCACTGCAGCTGAATCCGAGATTTTGTTCGAGGCAATAGAAGGTGAAACCGTGAAAGCCCATAAATTTACATTTTCCAACAGCCATTTTTTGTTTCCTGTGAAAGATATATCTCTAACTATTGGTTGTCCATGAGCTGATGCTCCATTACTCCATTTCCTCGATGAAGTTGTTAAAACTCTAGTGTTGCTGTTAGTCCTCTGATTCGTTATCAAATACTAGTGGAAGCTGATACCCCATTTCATTTCAGTTCGCGAGTTATGTTCTTTTCCGATTTATTTTCTTTGTTTCTGTTAAATCTCTTCCGGTGTTATGAAGGCCTATGAAACTGGGTTAGATGAAATAATTAAAACTCATGAAGGTTAATGGAGCATTTCTCGGACCGATATTGAATTTTAGAATATGACATGCATTGTTGAATAGATAATTTAATAATTCAATGTATTGAAACAAAAAATGGAGGTCGATGTCAGATCTTGTCTAAGTCGAAGGTAGAAGATACGCAAGAGTCATGAAGAAAGCTTACCCCTTCCCCTATTGGTATGATTAGAAGAAAAGTTTCCGGGTTTCCGGTGAGTTATCTCTTCTATCTTCAATTTGAACAAGATTAAAAGTTGGCATCCGTAAGGCTAAAAATGTTAGCGGATTTTAAACAACTTCAATTTGTTTGCCATTGATTTCCCCACTTACAATTATCTTTATTTTCATAATTTAATATTTTCATCAGTGTCCGTGTCCAATGGACCAATAGATTTATCATTTGTGACAACTTTCTTGTTTTTTTTTCCTGAAAATGGCTCAATCAACTTTCTTGTAACAACTTACTCGAAATGCTTCTTTAAATTTAAATTTGGTTTGGTTAGTTTAAAGTGTTTGATTAATTTTTTTGCTCAACTAATGTATGTGATTTTTGCTCAAATTTCTCAAGTGTTAATATTAAATAAAGGATCAATGAGTTTCATTTCCAAAAAGAATATCAAATCAAGGATACATTTACAAGCCTTGTTTAAGCTATTTTGTTTTGAGAAAATTTCCATCCCAGTGGTAACTTTTGTTTTACAATAATTTGATATAATAAAATAGCTACATGGAATTTTTTAAATTTATGTTTTATCTTTGTGTAGGAATATGGACGGCAACAAGGATTCGGCATCTTCATCTACTCAGCCAACTTCCAGATTGTTTTGGACGAGGTGCGAGAGGTGCAAGATGCAGTTCCAATACCAAATCTTTTATCTTCACTGTAGACTTATATGCCACAATTGCGGCGGAAATTGCTCCGCCACCGCATAATGCTTCCCTCCAGAACGTGCACGGGTTACGGTAGCACGAGCAGCTCCGGAAGAGATGTGGGGAATCATCTACTGCAGTGAGGAGTGCTACTAAAAAATCGTTGGGAAAGAGGCGTGCTGACGAGCATTCTCTCTTGTGCACGAGGTCATATGGTAAATATAATAGGAACATTTTCCATGGTTCTTGCTCCACCTCAGCAGCAGAACCTTTAGACCAAACATCGTCGACATTGAGTGTACCAGATCCAGATTCCGGTTTTGACAGGGAGAGAACCGAAGAGTCTTTTGGAGAAGAACAGGTCTGGGCGGTATGTGATGACAAAGATAGGTGGACAAAAGTACCACCCGAGACACGCAGTGTAATTTGCATATATCCACAAAAGGGGCGATGCTTGGGCCCTCTATAAAACTTGGTCCCCAGACTAGAATCGGTCGACAGCTGAGGAAGTGATCCGCAAGTATGATACAGTGGAAGTTGACGAGTTTGACAAAAAGCTCGGCATAAGGGTCATTCCCCTAGCGAAAGTATAGCTGCTTTTAGAACCGTGTTTCGTCAGGATCGCACGAATGGCTTGTGGGCGTATCGTAGACAACAGATGTTTCGGTTCTCCCACCAGGTTCCGGGGTACTTGCTTACAGGTGAAGAATCTCCAAAAGAGCAAACGGTTCACTGGGCACTGGATCCCGCAGCTCTTCCTCCAGAACTTCTTCTGGTCGTAATTGATATCAACGGATGAAGAAATTAACTATGAAGAACTTGGTAGGGTTTAGGTTTTGGATTACTTGGTTTGAAGGGAATGTAATTTTTTGACTTATAGATTGGTTGAATATTTGTTTGACTGCAATAGCAAATTATATTTGTGTAAGGGATGGAGATGTACGAGCTCCCTCCCGTACAGAACTCTTAGCAAGAAACATTTGTTCTTCATTTTACATGCATTCAACCATAGCTTTTATACACCACCCATGTATAATTTTCTTTATTCATAAACCACCTATGACATTAAATTCTAAATTAAAAACAATATCGGGCTTATTTAGAAAATAATGTTGTCTAACACTCGCTGTTAATAATCTACTAGATTCATTCGCCACTCATTAATTCAATACTCTTAACCTAACTCGCATAATTTTTTGATACACGAATCACACACTCTGATACATACATCAGATTAAGTTCTAAATTAAAACCAATATCTTGCTTAATTTAAAAAATAATGTTGATGCATAAACCACACACACCAATTTGTTGATGTTCCTAATTTGTTGATGCATAAACCACACACACCAATACATGGATCACACTAAAATCTAAATTAAAACCAATATCTCGCTTATTTTAGAAACAATGTTATCTAACACTCTCAATTGTGATCCACCTGATTCATTCACCATTCATTTATTCAATATTCTCAACATGACACAATTTTTTAATGCATGAATCACACACACCAATACATGTATATCAGATTAAATCCTAAATTAAAACCAATATCCCGCTTAATTTAGAACAAAATGTTGCCTAATATTCTCAATTGCGTTCCACTACATTCATTCACCACTCATAATTTAACACTAATAGCCCTACCCACATAAATTAAAATTAAAACCAATTTCTCGCTTAATTTAACATTTTAATGCAGGTTTTAGTTTCTAAATGTAGCTAGCACTCTTAATTTGTCTTTCTACGGAGACTTACTAGAAGTTTTGTCATATTCTCCTCTCTCTTTTTTTCTTGTACCGAAATCATTGACACAGTATGTCGTCATGGATCGCGCGACACCGACATTGCCAAGCAGTTCATGTCCATAGAGCCCATGCATGCAATTGTCCATTAATTTGTTTATGATATGACTTGGGACTTACATAGGACAAATGAAAAGCATGAGTTGGTGACCCACTCAACTTATATTTAGAGAATATGAAATTTTAGTCTATTAAGAGCTTAAGTTTTAGTTTTGATCACCGCGTTTTACTTCGACTTTAATTCTCAACAAATATTTAGTAATATTCACGAGTTTAAACAAGTTTTTGGTTTTAATATAAAGTCAATAATAATTCAAAAGTCTACTTATACTTGTTCCAACTCTTTTGGCTTTGATTAGGTAAGAAAATGTCACTTCAGCTAGGTCATATCACAAATTTTTATTTTAGATTTACTCTTTTGTTCATATCTTCTGCAAAGTTAGTTTATGGTCGTTTTAATAACCATTTTGTTTTTTGTTTTACAATTCATTTTTATGTTATAGAGCATAGGAAGATAATGTTTTAGAAAGGAGAAACGAAAATGTATGAATACTAGTGAAAGAAATGTGAATATGAAACGTATGAAGCGACACGTATAATGAAATTGAACAACCAAAGAAGGAAAATATAGGATCCAGGAGTTTAGGGTTTCTTGTGTGTTTTTCTATATTAGGCTCAACTTTCGGGTTGGACCTTTCTTTTGTTATATTTTTGGAGGCTTATATGTTGCTTTGTATATTATGTGTGTGCGAGCCTCTAACTTTGTATGTGAAGTGTGTTGGTACCTTATGACAAAAAAACTAAAAAAAATTGAGAACTTTAATGAAAAGCTTTCAGTAGTGTTTATTTTAATGAAAAATCACATTTTTACACTAAAAAGTTAATTCTAGTATTATCCACTCTACCATTTATTTTGACCTTATTGTTAAATTTAAAATTTTCAAATCATTTTCATTAGTCCGGATCACTTTCTATTTGTACGGTCAATTGGATCGTGTTTGCATATACCGCGTACGTAATGGATCCATTGTCGAATTTCCGGATACGTGACCCGGTCCCTCTACGCGTTACTTTCTCTCTCTTCACAAGTCCACCTGTTCCACCTAGACTCTAATTCTAACGCACACGGTCTCAAGCGCGTACTTACTCCCAATCCCCACCCGACGCGTGTCCCGAATTATGTGGTTCGGCCAATGGCAGCGAAGGCGGTGACTCCGTAGCGCTGCGGTCGGGGAGCCTATCATCCGTTTGCTAAATATAAAAGCGTCTGAAAACACGACTGTTTTTGGCGAAAGAGAAAATAAGGGCGAGAGTCGGAACTCGCCTGCAAGAGAGAATTCGACGAGGAAGGGGAAAAGCCTGCACGAGAACTAATCACCCGAGACGCAAACTCAGATACCGGATCTACACCCACAACCATGGTAATTCTCGATCATTGCTCCGATCTGTAGATGTAGATGAAATCATTTGGGTTTTCTGAAATCTTATGCTTTGATCCAGATCTGTAATTGTACGATTAGATTCAGCTATGAAATTGAATTAGATTGAATGAATTGTTTCGGTAGCTGCATGTGAATTTGGGTTTGTGTTTATGTGTGTGTGTATTTAAATTTGAATTGGGGATTTTTTGCAGACGACTTCAAGGCGTTTGGCTGACAGGAAGGTGGAGAAGTTCGAGAAGAACATAACGAAGAGAGGGGCGGTGCCTGAGACGACCGCCAAGAAGGCCAAGGATTATCCAGTGGGCCCTATTCTCCTTGGCTTCTTCATCTTTGTTGTCATCGGATCATGTATGTCCATCTCACTCAATTTCGCTAATTTCAAATCTGACGTGATTATATCAAAATCTAGAATTTGCTTAATTGATATCATTTGAATAGTCCGTAGAATTGGTAATTGTATCTGGGTTTTATCCGCCGCTGTGATTCTGATTTTGCTTGACTTGCATTGTATTGTGGCTGCATGCCCTGGAAATCGCAAAACTTCAATTGGGATTAGGAAAGGGAATTGTTATTAGCACTCCAAAAATCTCATTCTACAATCCGAACTTTCTATATTAGGAAAGAAAAATACAGTGTAGAATGAGATTTTTGAAGTGTCAATAACACTTCCCTTAGGAAATTTATACAAAGATTGATACTTTAAGCGCCCGTTCCGCAATGCTCATCTGGTTTGAAGCCGAAGAGGGCTTCCAAATTTGTTACATTGCCATATTTGAAGAAGATGAAAATTGAAACCTAAACCATCTATTTGGCAATGCTCATCTGGGTTGTAGCCTAAAGCGGTGTTTGAACATGTGGCATTGCCTTGATCGAAAAGATCAAGCTGGTGTCTGTAGTTTTGGTTCATTTTGTGTCCCTTGCGTAATTGAACTGCATTGCATGAAGGGTTTTTGGTGGTTTTGTGATTCTGACATATTTTTTTACTTTGTGTGGAACAGCTCTCTTTCAGATAATCAGGACTGCTACAAGCGGAGGCATGGCCTGATCAAGTTGACCCTACTGATGCTGCTGCTGCTTTCTAAGTTATGAGAGATGGCGTCAACCTGTCGTGCCGTTTACTGTTTTGTTAGCGAATAGGAAACTGATGATATACAAATGTGATGTAGTAAGAACTAAAACTGCGGTGTTTCTATCTTGTGAAGTAAAAGAAGTTTGAATAAAGGACCCCCTCCTCTGCTTCGCTTAAATTCTACCTTTTATTGTTCTCTCCATATACGTTGCTTCATTTTCAATGGCTGGATTAACTCATCTCCGACAATCGTATCTCGTGGGTCTGAGACATGATCGTGTCTCCGGCAACCATCTCTCTTGTGGTTGAGTTTGCCTGATATAAGATATTGTGCAAGAATTCAGGGTTGTGAAAGCAACTATATTGCCCTTTGCCCTGGCAATCCTTCACCCTCAAGGTTAAATTTGGGGCTCGTTTGATAACCATTGGACGAGGTTGGATTTGTGAATTTGCGCTCGTTTGATTACCATTTCTACTTTGTCGAATTTGAAGAAATTCGTGTGCACCTTTGATTTTGCATAACTCACTCCGGAAACGAGGTGATTTACTCAAGGATTAACAGAAACAATTCGCAGCCAGACACAGCAGTTGCAAGAAAAAAATCTCATAAAATACCACCTGCAAACAACGTAATGGTAGACGGACGGTTTATTTGAGTACAAAACGGATATGAGTACATTCATCCAGGTGACTGAAAAATAGGATTCAAACCTGCCTTCTGGATTCAAAGCAGTATGTCAAGTTCGTACACAAAAGAGTAAAACTCCGGCCGTCATACAACCGATGGAATTGTCCACTCCATAAAACAAGCAACGAAAATTGTCTAAAACAAATTGGCCGGGAAAGCTTGCAACCAACCATGCCGAACCGATGGTTGAGGAAAACTTCCATTCTGGCCATGCTGAAGCCCACCAGAAACAGAAACCTGATTCAAGCAACAGCAGTCAGGCTTGGATAAAATGCAGTGCCACATGCAATCCATTGCCGCTTCTTCCCATGTGGCACCACGCAACCAGGGACCTTCAGCCATTCCCTGCTCGACACGTTATATGTAACCAACCGGTTCATTTGTCTCGACCTCAAGGACAGCATGAGCAAGCCTTTGTTACCCAGGCAAGTCATCCTCACGTGCTTTCCGTAAAACTCCAAGCACCATATATTTGGCATTCTGTCAACCTCCTTCCATAGAAGTGTCATTTTCTGAAGCTCCCAAATGCAAACGCATGTGACAGCATTCTTTGATAACAATCCCACGAGCATGATCCGACCTCCACATTCAGCAAGTGTGTGGTCAGTCAGATGCAGCGGGGTGGGAATTATAAACTGCTTCCAAATCCCAGTGGCCATATCATATGACACAATCCCTTCAGGGTCTGAACGCATGAAGTAGAGTGTGCCATCGATTGAAACAGCCTGCGACCGGAAATTCAGTGATAGTGGCAGCTTAACACCTGATGGCATGATTCCTGGACGGGTCCAGGAATTCGTCACTGAATCATAAACTTCATACTCGCCATCACAAACCACCCAAAGGATCTTGTAGCCGCCACTGGCTGAACTCCTATTCAGGGTCATCCCCACAGCAATGCGAGACCAGACCTTAACTGACCTGGCCGGCAACTCTTTAAAAGATTGATTCAGAGGGTTGCAAACATAGAAGTTCCTATTACCGATATCAAGAAAACACACCAGTCCCCCTGCTGAAGCCACCGGTAAAACAATTAACTTTGTTGGCAGAGAAAAAATGGTGGGATGGTGCCACTTCTTCAAGGAAGGGTCATACATGGCTCCAGAATTCACGTTTTCATGAGTGATGGTGTAAAACCATGGAGTAGCTTGTGGGACCTCCGCACAATGTTGAGAGAAAGTTTCAGAATCCAGCAAGGAATTCCATTTCCTGCACACAGTACGAAATCGAAAAAATGTAGCAATGGGAAGCCTAGCAATGACGGCTTCATAAAGGTCTTCCGGGAAATCTTTCCAAATATGCTGTTCCATAGGCTCAGTGGTATTGGTAGTTCCAGATGATTTACCCCGGGTTTGCTCCTTACGAGATCTCTTGGTAGGAGGAGGCTTGCACGGTTCCAACATCTTAAAACTTCTAGATTTTCCAGCTGCCATCATAAGACTGTAGTAATCATCTGCAGCACCTTCATCAACGTTAATTGGGCACCACCTGTGTAAATACAAGTAATGATGAAGTTAATTCTATGCTCCCTAATTGAGGAACTTTACTGTAGTTCGAAATTAAACAGGAAAAAAAAAAAATGAAATGTACCCACGTAAAGGTCAACAAAGTACATTAACATAACGACATGAGAAACAATAACAAGTTCTGAACTATTGAGTACAAAGATGTAAAACAAAACCCAATCTGGGGTTCTTAACCGAAAAATGAATTAGGCACATCTATGAGGCCACCGCAAGGCCTTATCCATGATTTTATTACATTTTTTTCTTAAAGAACTGATTCAAGCCAACTCCGTGCATACAGGCTACAAGCTTTACTGAAACTCTAATAGATCCCTTGGAAAAGAACTTCACTTAGCCTTAAATATTAGTTTAAGTAATTTGCAATAACTTATCAAAAGAAGAAAGCTAATACTAGAATATGGAATTGACAAGAAATGAAAGATATTGAATATTAAGGTCCTAACTTAAAGAGAAAGGAAGGGTCATGGATGTAGTAGTACGCAAGACCTATGACGCTTAAATTTTGAAGGTTCCACCCCAAAAAAACTGAAATCAAACACCAAGGATAAGTTCAATTCAACAGACATCAGGTGAACAAACTCGGAGAACAAGTGAACAAATTAAGATAACATTTTGTACTTAGAATTATTTTATGAAACAATGCTTCTCCCAGTGTGCAGGATTATCTTGTACAGTTAGCTTGTATTTTTCATGGAAATTAAGCAATATATCGCCAAATAATGCAACTTCAAGCAACAAATTGTTGAAGGCTGGAATCCAAGTTAGCCAGTTTACCAGTCAAGAAGTGAAGACAACCAAGCAGAACATATAATGCTAACCAACAACCTACACCGAATAAGAAAGAGATATAGAAAATGTAGGAAGTTTGTTGAACACTAAATAATAAATATGAAGAGGTCTACGGGTGAATGCATTATACGTTAGCATACAGTACAAGAAACCAAAGGCGAAGTTCATGTGTCATATCTAACCAGAAACTAATTGTCTATTCAGTACCTAATGTAATTAATGTCGCCTACCAATTAACCCAGCTTGGTCTAACCAATTCAAGGAGGACGGTTTAATTGGCGGTCTAAGTTTCTGAAAACCCCTCTTCCAACTTTTTTTCATATGTTTATCAGATTATTCAACTTCCCGGGCCTAACTGTTCTTTTGCTCCTTCCCTTTTCTGGTTTGCTGTGGTACACGCAATCAAATGGTACTAAAACAGAAATGGGCAACCGTGACAAGGTTCAGAGTTGGCCATGACCCTCCTAAGAACACCGTGAACCCGGAAACGCAACCCCGGCTGGACAGTCATGAACACAAACCAGAGAGGGAAGAAAGAAACAAAAATATCAAACATTTGCATCATTGATACTGTCTATCACTAGTGCTCATCAAATTTGTGTCAAAGAAATAAGCTAAACACAAAAGGAAGAGATGTGCAAAGCACATAGAGTAAAAGGCAGAGATTAAGTAACAAATTCCTCAAATATGTAAGACCCATCTCCAGAATGGCAAAACCATTTCTGAAAGCAATCGGACCCAATTTCTCAATCGTAAATGGCAACAAGCAAACAAAGCAAAGCAACCAAATTCAGCAAGAAAATCAAAGAAAGCCATGTAATTTACACTTCGGAGGAAGAAAAGAAACCAAACAAAGCAGGCAAGCACGTCGAAGAAAAATCAGAATGCCACCAACAAACCATGAAACGAAGGAAAGAGAAGAAATCGAAGAGATGGGTCGGAAAGAAATGGAATTTGAGAAGGTGGGAGAGATCCAGACGAGGGAGGGAGCGAACCTGAGGTGGTGGTGGTGGTCCTGCGGTTGTTGCTGAGAGTGATGATGGCGGAGCAGAGGAGGTTGAAACTGAAGTTGAAGATGGTGATGGTAATGAGGAGGAGGCGGGTGAGAGCCGACGAGCTCCTGAAGCTGACCGATGAGCTGTCTCAGCATGGCCAGCCCTTCCATGCCCCTCACAGGCTATCTCTCTCTCTCCTCTCTGCGACTGACGACCCAAAATCCCAACAAAACACACAAAAACCAGAGCTTTTATTCTTCTTCTTATTATTTTAATTTTATTTGACTTATTTGTGAATAATTAATTAAATAAGAGGAGAACCCCAGAAAAACCAGAGCTGCCCCTTTCCCTTCTCTTCTTCCTCCATCCCCAACCCCCAAAAAACCCAACCCCCACCTCCACTCTCTCTCTACCCCTTTTCTTTCGCTCCTCTCTGCTCTCTCTCTCTCTCTGACCCACTCTTCCTTTACCACGCCAGCGCGCCCATACCATTTACCTTGTACTGTTACCACTCCTTATTACTCCCTTTCATGTTTTGAATAACAATGTCTTCTCCTTTTCCAACTTTACCCTTCCCCATTGTTTTATTTTATTTGGGTAATAATTACTATTCACTTGTTATAATATTTGCAGACGATTTAATTGATATGTCATGTACCTATAACAATTGTAAAAATATATACACATTATATAACACAAGTGAATTTGACCCAAAAAAAGAGTAAACACAATGAATTGGTAAAACTTTATGTTGTGAATTTTGTCGGATGATAACAAAAAAACTAAAAATTTATTGCTAAAAAGGTATTAGGTAATTTTATTTGTTTTCCTTTTTTTTTCAAATCGTGAACTTAAACTAAAAAAATATTTTGTAACTGTTATAAATTCTGAGATGATCTTCAAAATTTTTTTTGAAATATCGTATGAATTTGTACACCTTTTTCAATTTATCATCTCATCTTAAATCCTAAACTTGATTTGTAATTATTTCAAATTATAAATTTTAAGTAATGGGTATACGAGTAAATTCACAAGTCTAAATATTTAGAGGATTTTGCAGTCCAAGCGTGTGAACTGTGAACGCAAGATTATAACTTGACGATGGTCAAGGAGACAACGGAAGAGAGAGAGCTTTTGAAGCACCAATTAATAGCTTGGCTTTCAGAAAATCAACGGTTGCTATTAGATCTGGGAAGCTCTCTCTTTCTTGCCCCGGTTCCACCAGAAATTTATACTACGACGGATGCTACATCACGTATTTTTATATGGATGGTGTGAAATTTTACTTTTTAAGTTATTAATTTTTTGAACACACATATCATATTATTTACATAGTAATATATGATGTACTATATCGTATTCCGACCATATTGAAAATATCTCTTATTCCACGCAGACGGCATGATTGTCCCTCCCAACACTTTATCCCATTTCATGATGAATTTTGTTAAACTTACGGAAGTACCTACTTCCTACTTGATGCCGTTCAATCTTTCTTTCTTCTACTCATTTGCCATAATTGCCCCAAGTACCCCTACTTATCATTATTCTTTTTTTTTTTTTTTTTGCCCTTTTTCTCTTTTACACTAGAGAAAAAGGAGATTATAAACGAAAATCCTAGGGCACGACTGATTGAAATAAAAGGCGTTCAACATCGGTAAAGGAAGGTCACGAATCCACAATTGAGAAACTAGAACACTATAACCTAGATCAGACATAAAATTCGTCAAAAAGTTAACTTTTTCGAATGATACATTTGAAAGTTACTTTTTCTTTTTCATTTTTGCGCCCAATTACTTTTTATCTTAAATACCTAATTTAAATATTTCTCTAGAACTGGTTCAACTTTTTTTATACATGCGAAATTGATGATATCTACCGCTAAAAGACATGAACAAAAAGAGAAGTTAAAGAATGGCATACGTTCCCTCCACAACATTCGATGAAATGAGTGATGGCCGCAAGGCTTGTCTTAAGCAATCATACAATTCATTCCCTAAGCAAATGGCCAATATACTCATTCAATCACACATCATCAAGTGACTAATAAGTGAGTGGGATGTTTTCCCTTTTCTTTTTTGCCAAATCACATCTTAAAAATCGTATACTAAAGTTTAAATTAGATTAACCTAAATCTAGCCAAGAAAGATTGATTTAAATGTATCAACCACATGTGTTAGTGTTTTCCTTTTTCTTTCCCCTAAAACTTGTGGCACTTTCCTTTTACCTAATAAATTTGTTACAAAATGGACTGTCATATGCCATTTTGATTGCCACCACCCCCGTTACTTACTTTCAGTGTTTAATACATGGATGAAATTGTCGATATTTTCGTCGGGAAAAAAAAAAATCAATATGGAAACAGAGAGGGGGGAAGGGGTGAAATGCAGACCAAATTTTCATCCTTTATTTGCAAGATATCTGAAAATTGGTGAATATGAATGATATTTACTGATTTTCAACAAAAATTTCGAAAAAGCAAATTAAAAATTTCGGAACTGTGAAATTTGTTTAAGAAATTTCTCCAAAGTTGTAGACCAAATTTTCAACTACATATTATTTAAACACTTTTTAAATTAATAAATGTATTATGGTTTTATCTAACATTTTTTAAGGCTTCATTTTAAGTTTTAATTTTTAACAAATTTCTATCATTTTCGTTGAATACAATCGATATCAATATTTTCGTACGTTTTCACATCAATATTTTTTATCGATATTGCTTACTTCCGACACCCTCAAGCTCAACCTCAAAGGAGCCCAATTGATGCAATAAGTAACATTTGCTTAAATCACATCATAACTAGGCTAAAGCTAAAAAGTTGCTTCAATGGAGCACTTGAACCTTGCCTAATTAACTTGTCTTCCTATATAACACTCATCTTCTTCTCCAGAAGCTTCAAAAATTAAAATGTGAGGCAATCATAACCATCAACATAAGATTTCATTTTGCAAAACGTGAGACAACCACTTTCCGATTGTCTTACATTTTGGATAAAATAGGATAATGTGAATCATCCGACTGTCTCACTTCTGCAAAAAGAGATCCGCCATTGTAATTTCTTCCTCAACTACACAACTACACAAAAGAAGAAGGAAAAAGTGGGAAAATGGTGTGGAAGGTAATTATGTATGAGGGAAGAGGGTGGAGAATTTGGTAAGGGAGGAAGTGATGATTAAAATGGGGAGGATAAAGTTAAGGTAAGATGGAAGGTTTTGAAAAATAATGATTAGGTTCGGCAAAACCAAGGGGAATGAGTGACTGAGAGATGCGGATGCGGTGGGTAATCATTTCACATACACTTCTCTTCTTCTTCCCTCCTAGGGAAGGAAGAAAGAAGACTCGGTAGTTTTTGGCGGTGAGGGTTGTTTTGGTAATTTGGGTGGCTGACTGGTGGGTATGAATGGTATAATTGGTCATTATCACATTCATGATGGATTCCCTTCTTTTACGTGTGCACAACGGAATTAGTGCATTCCATAATTCCGTTCCTTTATTGCCTCCCCTTCGAATGAGTATATTTTTCGGATTCTTTTTATGGGAATTTTGAGAATTCTCTAATCACGTCTGTTCATCGTAAATTATGTGGTAAAAAATTATTATAAATTTTTTATTTAAAATTAAATATAAACAGTATATGAAAAAAACTGATCGCACGATAAACGATAAACGAACATAATTAAAGGATCTCCAAAATCCTCATAAAGAGGATCCGGAGATGATCCTCATTCCTCCCTTTCCCCGGTCTCAGATTTTTCTTTTTTTTTGAATCTTCAGTCAACACTTTCAATTTTCTAATTTGTATTTAGCTATTAGCTAAGCTCATTCCTCAGCTTTGGGGTCATTTTGGTCATTTGGGCCTCTAAATAAGTTGGGGCGGGGGTCCATCGTACGATTGGGCTCCAAACGAGACCCAAGTCTCGAAATGCATCGAGTCCAGAAGAATCACCAACCAATGAATACACATCACTCTATAGCCCAGAAGAATCACAACTAATGAACACACATCACGGTGTTAAATTGTTAAATGTTTTTTTTTTGTCAAACGATAAGTTTTGTTAGATTAGATGTTAGATTAGTCATCGACGGGGTTCGAACTCACGCTATCATTCAAGGGCTTAACTCCTTTCCACCATTGTGGTAAAAGGCCACTTACTTAAATTGTTAAATATTAGAGAGAATAGTAATCGGTAGTGATCAAATCTGCATCCGAGTGCATAAATATTATTATTTTTCTCCACTATGGTAAAGTGCTATCTACGAGAATTTCTATGATGTTGAAACTTCAAAGTGTGCAAAACAGCAATGGTAGAATTTGGCTTTAGAGAAAAGAACCCTTTGCAGCGAAAAATGGATCAACAAAGCCAATGGAAATTGGTATCTGCTTTTTAGTGTAGTCATTTCACCGATGATTCCTCCTCTAATGAGTCCAAATTCAAATAATTTTAGCTTGCACTCCTAAAAAAATTGTGAAGATTTATTAAATTCGATGAGGATTTCAAATAGATAACAAGATTGAAGGGTAGATTTCAAATAGATGAAGGGCATGAGGTCCAAACCCAATCCAGCATTTTGTGAGATGCATTCAAATCCAACACCAAATATGGCTTTCCCCTTGTTGTGTAGACATTCAAGCAGGCCTGCTTATTGCACAAGCACATTCACGCTCTGAACCCACTTGAGATAATATGTTCGGAATTGCTAATGCAGGAAACACTTCTATATAAGCTTAGGCCATCTCCAACCGATGGGTCCAGAGGGCCAGATGGTCGAAAATAGTCCGAAAACCATCTCCAACTGAGGGCTAGGCCAAAGAGCTGTAGAATCTGAGAGGGCCCACGAAATCGGAGAGGGCTAGAGGGCTGGCCAGAAAATAAAGTTTTCCTTTCGGTTATAACCGATAGGATTGTTGTATTCAATTTTTTTTTTTTTAAATTCTTAAAAATTCTAATTTTTTTTTCTTATAAATACCTAAACCATTCATTATATTTAAATTCTAATTTTTTTTGGTTTTTTGGGCCAGTTATCATAGTAATTTTTAAATTTAAGTTGTTGGATTTGAATTTAAGTTGTTGTAGTTTTTAAATTTAAATAATAAATTATGTTTGGCCCTATGACCCTTTGGCCCTCGGTTGGAGAAGGTTTTTTGTGTCAGGGCTAAAACGAGCCCTCTGACCCTTTGACCCTCGGTTGGAGACGGAGGCAAATATGACATTGTACTGTTCATTAAAATGTTAATACTTAAAGAATCTTAGAGGGCCAGAGGGCTAAAACAAGCCCTCTGACCAACCCTCGGTTGGAGATGACTTTATATTCCTAGGGCGCTTTTATTAAAAATTTAACCTTCTTCAAAAAACAGCGGTTTTGTAACCCACAAAACTTAAACCTTTTTGGTCAAATACTGTCAGGAACGCCTATGATTATCAAATTTCAGCTCGTTCCTATGAAAAGGAGTCAAACATGCCCTTAATAATAACAAAAACTTTTCACCAAACTGCATATATATAACCCACAAGAAATAGAATGTTCGAAACACAAACTGAATTTACCTTTGACTGTCAAATTATGCAGAGTGTCCCATGGATTGAGGTCATAGACAACACCTTCAACTTCCTTTTCACAGCAGTAACCAAACAATTTCACCAAGTTTGGATGACCATTCACAGTCGGATGTGTCAAAAACTCAACTTCTTCCGGCAACACAAACTAAATCATCAATTCGGTAAACCTCCAAAACCCAAAAAGTTAATTAACTTTTACAATTACCTTAATCATCAAAATCTCATCATGCATGCATGAGTTTGCTGCAGCCTGCTGATTTTTCATCCCATATTTTTCCATCTCGAGCTTCATCTGTTCCCGTAACCCTTGCTTAATCCGTCTTCGATATGATTTAAAAACTGAGTAAATCCAATCAAGTTGTTCTGGTTTTGAAATCATTGGTGCATGCTTTCAAGTCCGCAGATGTAAAGACTCCAATGTTTTCTGCAGAATCCATCAGCCATAGATAAAAAAATTTAGATGATAAATGAGCACAAAAAATATAGAAAAATAGATACTAGGCTGTTTATATATATATATATATATAATAGCTAGTCAGCTGCCTTATTTTTGCTCTATCCCAACTTCAAAAAATAAAGACCAACCATATAAACATTGAATTACCACGAAAGCGTACCTGATTCCATTGCTAAGGAGCTGAAGAGACGTTATGTTATGTTGCTCTATGTCACAGAAAGCCAAATGGAAGGCTGATACAACCGTGTTGTATACAATTATGTATAGCAAAGGCTACAACAACTGTATCCTAATAATGTAACTCCAAACGTCATTAAATTCGGCTCAAACCAAATCTGAAATCATCAATCATTGTAATGTACAATTTCCCTAAGAGCATTCCGATCCATTCAATTTTCGCAAACATAAAATTTAATTTCTTTTTTCACATGCCAACAGAATTTGCCACTTGAAGTTGAACAGCTTGCAAATAGCTTGTGACAGAAACATGATTTAACAAGTTCTTACCAACCAAAAGACCATGGAAATTCTCACCCTCACTTGTTTTCCAACAACATTTCCTTATTTAACTCACAAATCCCATCTTAATTTTCCTTTAGAGTCACTAATCCAATTGCAAATCTCATAACTTCACCAATTTCACTACCACTAGCTCCCGGCAGATATCCATCATGGGAACTTTTGTGCAGAACTCAGCCCAGGAGGATGAACATATTTTCAGAAGCCGGTCCCCAGATGTCCGAGTGCCTGATAACATCACGTTGCTGAATTTTTGCTCCAAAATGCGGAATTATACGCTGGAAATGTTGCATTCATGGAGGCTGTGACCGGAAAGAAAATTACCCACGGCAAGGTGGTTTGCTAAGGCCTTATGGTCTCTTGGCCTTAAAAAGGGGCAAGTGGAGGTGGTTGTTCTCCCAAATGTAGCAGAGTATGCCATTGTTGCCTTGGGAATAATGGCTGCTGGTGGTGTATTTTCGGGTGCAAATCCGTCTGGGCACGCATCTGAAATTAAGAAGCAGGTTGAGGTTGCTGATGTCAAGATAATTGTAACAAATGGTGCAACTTATGAAAAGGTAACGCTTTCAGATCGTAATCACATTAATTCTTTTATTTTGAATAATGCAGGCATTTATGATCATAATTCTAAGCCTTTTAAGTTGAGAATTTGAGATGATCAGGTAAAAGCTTTTGGGGTGCCAGTAATTCTGCTTGGAGAAGAAGTTATTGAAGGTGCTATGAACTGGGAAAACCTACTTGAAGCAGCAGACCGTGCCGGAAACATAATTGATGAGGAGCTGCAGCAGACTGATCTATGTGCCCTTCCCTTCTCATCAGGCACAACAGGATTGTCTAAGGGTGTAATGCTGACTCAGCCTAAACCTAGTAGCGAACCTCAGCTCCACGCTTTTTGGAGTAACGCCAGACATGATTGGTAAAGTAACCGTGCTATGCCTAATTCCATTCTTCCACATCTATGGGATCACTGGAATATGTTGTGCCACACTTCAAAACAAGGGGAAAGTGGTAGTGATGGGAAGATTTGAACTTCGCACATTTCTTAACGCGTTGATCTCACACAAGGTCACGTATGCACCCATTGTGCCACCGATCATTTTGAACTTGGTTAAGAATCCAATTATTGATGAGTTTGATCTTAGTAAGCTCAAACTCCAAGCTATTATGACTGCAGCAGCTCCCTCTTGCTCCGGAAGTCCTCAACGCTTTCGAAAACAAGTTTCCCCGCGTCCAAGTCCAAGAGGTGACACATTGTGACAAGACACTTCATTTGTAACAAAAAATTATGTTTGTGTTGATTAGTTGTTTTAAATTAAATGCAGGCATATGGACTGACGGAGCATAGCTGCATCACACTCACTGAACATGCAGGACCAGGTCTTGTAGCAAAGAAAAACTCAGTAGGGTTTATTCTTCCAAATTTGGTAGTCAAATTCATTGACCCCAACACCAGTCAATCCCTACCGAGAAACACTCCCGGTGAACTTTGTGTTTTGAGTCAATGCGTAATGCAAGGTAAAGGATAGAGATTTACATCAAAATGAATAAGGCTTTTTTATCGCAAATAGTTTCTGTACGGTTCCAAACTGACTATCGACACAATGGATAGCTTCACACTGGAGATATTGGCTATATAGATGATGATGACAACGTCTTTATTGTCGAACGGATCAAGGAATTAATCAAGTACAAAGGTTTCCAAGTAAGATGGAATACTTATAACTACTCCAGATTAATTACACTAATCCACATTGCAATGTAATTGCTTGACTAATTATGTGTGCAACATCTGAAGGTGGCTCCTGCTGAACTTGAGGCCATTCTTCTATGTCATGCCTCAGTTGAAGATGTAGCAGTAGTCCCGTAAGTTGATTTCGATGAATCAAAACAAAAAGTTTTGTTGTTCTTGTTTAGATTCATTGGTAGAAATTTTTTGTGCACAACGGTCTTCCTTTGTCAAACAATGGACTTTGTATCCACAATGCATGAATAACATATCGATATGCTTTGCTATGGACTGCGTTATCTACTTATGTTATCGGCACTTTTTTCAGGCTGCCGGATGAAGAGACAGGGGAGATTCCAGCAGCATGTGTTGTGATAACAGCTGGTGCAAAAGAGAGTGAGGAAGAAATAATCAACTATGTGGCCTCGAAAGTTGCACAATACAAGAAAGTGAGAGTGGCGCACTTTGTGGTCACAATACCAAAATCACTCTCCGCGAAGGTCATGAGAAGGCTTGTCAAAGAGAGCATGATAGAAAAGAGCAAGGCATCCAAGCTCCACTGCCTTAACTAATATTCCACAATTTAATTGCATGTCCAAATTAATAATTAATTACACAGATCATGGTTTAATTTAGGTCGATTGCTGTTGAGATGTGATTAGCAAATCAATCACTATTAAGATTATTTAACCGGTTTAAAATAATTAAGTCAAACGCTATCATACGATCACGTGGTATCATAAATTTACTCTTGTTATGATACGTCTCTTTTCACAAGTGACCAGACACTAGTGAGAGGGTGGCCACCGACCAGGCCATGGAACAAGGAAGTCGAGGACAGTGGGGGTATAAAGCAAATGAGGTTACACTTGGTCTGCACGAGCACACGTACCCTGTTGCAGGATCACACATATTTGCTCCCCAAAGAAAAGTTCCTACTTAAAAAATGAACACATCTTGGCAACTTTCTCTTGCACAGCATGATATTATGCATGATATACAAGCAAAAATAATTTATTAAAAATGAATAATTATATTATAAACGGTGTCATGCATGAAGTTCATCCCACTCGGTGGAATATAGGCCAATCATACCAAAAAATAATTCACTCTGGATAACTCACAAGACAAATTTAATCAATCACTCACATATGAGCAGAGCCACTAAGGGACTCCAATGGTTCCGGGCCCATTCTTGCAATTGCCGCAAGACATGAGAAAGAAGATGGATTGTTCCTCATCATGTCGTGGTCTTCAAATTCTAACAGTTTTGTTGTTTTGTCTTTGTAGTTTAATGAAATAGTAAATTTGTAAATGGGGGTTTAAAATAGATTTTAATAATACTTCTAAAGCAACCTAATCATCTATATTTACAAACCTCCTTTTTGCCCTCCCTCACATAGAATCCTGACTTCTCCACACATATTAGATGGAGAAAATATTTCAACAATGTTATAAATTTTTATTTTGTCCTTGAATATGAGTTCTTGATGACTCGAAAATGATTGTGCAAAGATTATTCGCACTCTTGGAGGATGTACATTGGGACCAAGGTGGTTTTAGAACTAATCAGAGTTCGAAAAATATACATAAAAAGGTCTTCTGAGGATCTTCCGAATGTTTAATACAGATTCTTTTACAACCAACAAGTGTTTAATATAATGCATGCTAGAGTGTTAAGTCTATATATGTTGACTTGTGGACAACATAATTTGGTTAACTATAATAAGTTTGCCAAGTGTTCGGCGAAATACCTTATTGAATAAACTATATATTTTTTTTTATGCACCTCACTTCAAATCCTAGATTCCTCACTGCTCGCAGTGTAAGTAGTTCCATTTGAATGAACTAATTGCCACTCTTTTTATTATTCCAATGCGTACGCGGCGTCCGTTGATTTGATATTTTGAAAACAATGAATCCCAAATGGCAGAAAGTAATGAACAACATGTGCCCTTCTCAGCATGAGATCTTGAAATTCGATTTAATTAATTTATCGGATTAGTTAACTAATTGTTTCCATTTGCCAACCTCAATCCACACGAACTTACTGTTTATTACACACAACTAGGTTTAGCCAAAATTAATTAATTATATCGCATGAATATTTAAACACATACTTGTGCAAACAAAACCAAACCCAACTCTCACTCTCTCTCTCTCTCCAACCAATAGATTATTCTTACTTTCAATCCCATCCTATGTTGATTTTATGTATCTTAAACTAAATTATTAATTATGAGTATCTTAAGTTAAATTATGATTTGGCCCAAGTCCTAACATGGGGTGGAGATGTACTCGATTCTTTGTGTCCGAAACACGCAAATTAAGATATTCTATACCGTTCAAAAGAGAGAAAGAGATCTAAGCTGTTTAAGTTTTTGAGTCTTTGTAAAGTGGGCTAGTAAAATGAACTAATAGAAAATGTACAATTAAAATTGAGTGGTTCAGATCTTTTGATTTGCATGCTTCAAACACAGACATCTAGAGTGGATCTCGAGTCCCTAACATGGAGACGATCTCTAATTTTATTTTAGTATTAGCAGTCATATTGTAAATTAGTCCAAGTTGTTAGTACAAGACACATTCCTAAGTTTACTTTCCTTAATCTAACCAAAATTCCCAATTAAAGAAGGCTTCACATGACATTGGTAACGTCTTTTGTGGTAGATTATTATATAACCACACTCCAAGTCTCCAACCATAAAAACATGTATGGGGTGGTAAGTTTTAGATTATCTACCATTTCAATACTATCAATAATAAAATACAAGTAAAATAATGTAGTGTGTGATTTAGATTGACCATAACAGTCAACTTCATGAAGTCATAAATTGACACAATAAAAGCTAGGTTTTTTCATTCAAAATGATCATTGAAATTGATATAATTTCTCATTTTCATCCGAAAGATTTAAAATCGATAAAAGTGGTCCATGAGATTGTCTACTGTCAATCATTTTGTGAGAAATCTCTATTAAATTGAAGGTATTTTTGTCAAATCAACCAATTCCTTTGAACGGGTAGTTTTTTCAATCTAACAAAAACTTTTTTACAGAATAACTAAAATAATTGACAATGGAGAATCTCATTGACCACTTTTATCAATCTTAACTCTCAAGAACCAAAATAAAAAGTTATGATAATCTTATGAATTATTTTAGCTAAAAAGTCTAAAAGTTATAAGTTAAGAATACTATTCGCACTAAAGCTCATCAATTTGAGCTGCTTTTTCAGTCATGAATCAATAATAAAGAGTCTCGCTAAATCCCAAAACGAAAAAGGGAATGATAAAACAAGAGAAATGCTAAAGAAACTGGATCAAAGTGAAATTTTTACGATTATTTTGTCATTTTATAACTTCACGTTAATTTGTATGTTAATATTATAAAAAAACATAAGGTGACAAACATGAGTGAGGGGAGCGGGTGTGAGACTGTGCCAAAAAGTTTGATATCTCACTTATGTAATGCTACACTGTACTATCTATTTGCACCATCTTTATGATATTGATAGAGCCCATTATACAATTAAACGGTAGAAATAGCATTTTTGATCTCACGCACAAAAACAAAAATCACACAATATAAGTGTGAGACCGAGTGAGGGAGCAAGTGGCGGTACTTCCTCTCTCTCTCTCTCTCTTTCTCTCTCTCTCTCTCTCTGGGGTCAATTTTTAGGACCAAAGATTGAAACTTTGGAAAGGGAACGGACGATTGATGCTAACAAAAGCTTTTCCTTCTTTAATACACCAAAAGCAATCTCCTCTGCAACCTCCCCAAATCACCATGTAAGTTTTACTGATTACAACCTCAGCTCGCAATCATTTTCCATTTTTTCACTTTTCTCCTTTTTCCCTCTGCACTTGCAGCATTTCATGGTATAAAAGTTGGGTTTTTTTGTTTTTTATTTTTGTGCTGAATGGAATCAATATGTATGTTGTATGTTATATGTTGGAAGTTTTGGGAAACGATCAGTAGCTGCGGTTGTGGTTGTGCCGATTTTAGATTGGTATGTATTTTGGGGGAAACAAGAGAGCAATTATGACGATCGAAGCTGCTGGAATTTCTAATTTTGGAATTATCAGTTTTAGATTTTTATTTCTTTCTTTCTCCCTGTATTAATCTGTTTCCAATAATAAGAGGTCCAACTTTATTGGGAACTGAAATTTTATTTTGTATTTTCTCATATGTATTGTACTGGAAAATTATTGAGCTTCTTTGGTAATATGCCTAAAAGCAATTTCTTTGGGGGGTCTGGTTCCAGATTTTTTATAATTAAAATAAAAAAATTATTGGGTATTTAGTAAACAAGATTTTAGGAAAATCATAAAGAATTAATCTTTCTTGTTAGGATTAAAACCCCATTTGATTAAGATATTGAGCGGCTTAGTTTGATGGGTGATCATGGTTGTTGGCTGGTGCCAATTTCTTAATGACCAGAAAGGAAGAGGCTTTGAGCTTTTACTTTTAATATTTTTGATACGATTGATATTAGGGTAGGAGGATTCAAGTTTCGAGACCTCGGGTGCCATGGACAATGCTCTTAAGCAACTGAGCTACGAGGCCTCTGCGAGAGGCTTTGAGGTTTGTTGGAGGAATGTGTGAATTGCAGAGCAATGGAGGTTGAAGTGTGAAATATTGGTTGATAGTTGATAGGGTGTAGTGGGTGGGGCTTATTTAATGGCCGACTTTAGATTGTAACCGTATTGTATATATGAATGATTGAGCTAAGGGTCTGGAAAGTACAAGGTATGCATGTATAGGTGACGGTAACAAGTTACAGTTGAAGAAAGAAAACAATTATTTGAAATAATTGAAGAGAGTGGGAGAGATGCAGAGGTAATGTCCATGTATAATCTTTTATAAAGGTGGTAAATTTTATATGTGGTCAGAGGATAAAAATCCAGGTTAGCATGAAATTTACCTCAAAATATTTGCAGGGGAATGGGGAACGGTTGACAAACTTACTGGAGGTTCAGGTTTTGTAGTAAGTTTGTGAATCGGTGGGGCTTGTTAAAAGTACTTGACTGAGAAGAAATGACTTGGACGTGTGGAATACAATAGGTAGGGTTCTGGATTTATGTATTCGGTGCCTTTTGTCTTCGGTCGAATGGAGTAAATGGGGATTATTGCAGCTGTGTGTGGCTGTGTGCCTTAAAAATCTGGCAAAATTTATTAGCTTTAGAAGGATGGTGATTTATAGGTACTAGTTATAGCTGCGAAAATATTTACAGGAGTTGGAAAGCTGTTTATCTGCTGCGATATACTTCTTTCGCTTATGTATTGAATTGTTTGATCTGCATTTTTTGAACTTTGTGGTTGTTCGGATCTGAGCTCAAGTAGTTCCACATTGTTCTTCAGTCTGCAAAGATTTACTATGTTTGCTTTCTTGTTTTTATAGTGTTTATTGATTAGTTAGTTGACATTGTACTGTATTGATCCTCCCATGTACTTTGCTACATATGTGCTTATATATATTTTTATCTGATATTTATACGTTTGCAGAGTCTGGTGACTGGGTGCTTTTGTGTTATTTGAAGACACGATTTTGGAGTAGTTTTATGAATTCGGTGCTGATGATGGAGTGGAATGAAAAACCTCCTTCACTGTGGGATTTGGATAACCTTTTCATGTATGGTACAAAAGTTACTGAAAATCCTAGGAAGTTACAACCAGCAGACTGGGGAATTGAAGGGGAACGAGGAATGAACTCTGAATCTTTCTATTCGACTGGGGGTGATGGGGGTAGTGGGGTTTCTGGCTCTGATTTGGGAGATGGTTCATCAAAGAGTTCGAAATCAGCTTCTGTCAATTCTTCAGTTGAGGAAAGTAAGAAATCCAATTTCAACTTAGAGGCTTTTGAAGGTTTCCCGAAGGATTTCTTTGATAAAAAGGATTCAGCTGCAGCCGAGGCCCTTGGATCTTCTCCAACTCATGATGTTTCGGCTGGCTCTGGCGAGCCATTGCTAAGTCTAAAGCTTGGTAAGCGGATGTACTTCGAAGACGTTTGTGCTGGAAATAATCATGAGACCTCTTCTCTTTCTGTTATTTCCACATCTATGGCAACAAAGACAAAGAGGTTTAAGTCTGCTGCTCAGAGTGCATTTGCATCACACTGCCAAGTTGAAGGCTGCAATCTTGATCTTTCATCAGCCAAAGATTACCATCGCAAACATAGAATTTGCGCAAATCATTCCAAATCTCCGAAGGTTGTTGTAGATGGTGTGGAGCTTCGGTTTTGTCAACAGTGTAGCAGGTAAAGCTTGGTAGAGATTCTTTGGGTGATGCAGCAACCCCGCAATTACTTGTTTTCTGAATTACAAGGATGTTTTGTTTCTTTAGCAGTTAAATCAGAATGAGCTTTAGTTCTTTTCTAACATAGATCTTGATATGCATAAATCCTTTGTACCAGGTTCCATGGCCTTTCTGAATTTGATGAAAACAAGCGAAGCTGTCGCAGGCGACTTTCTGATCACAATGCAAGGCGCCGCAAGCCACAGACAGAAGTAGTGAGACACCCAGCAAGGCTGTCTTCATCACTGTTCAGCACAGGTATTGGACTCACTTAAATTCTTGCTATTTACTGACATACATCAAATCATGATGTAGACCATTTTGTTGAAATCTTAGTTTAAACGGTATGTTTCTGTTTCTTTTTAGAGTTGTCAAGAATGCAAATAAACCTACCAGGGTTTAATTCACCCATCTAATAATTTAATCTTTTGAGTGTTCTTCGACATTCACCCATCTAGTACGATTCAAGTAATGAATTTTACTGAGAAATTAGCCAACTGCAATACTGGTCATCAGGCATGCTTTTAGATTAAAGCTAATGTTAAATACTTGAAATCATATTTGTGCTGCCCCGTTGCTTATCCATTAAAGTTGAGCTGGGTTTCTGTTCCGATGCAGATGCCATGAGCCTTTCTTTGGACCCAGGTCCCTATGTTTACACAAAGCATGCTTCAAATTTAACATGGGATGGCTCGTGCAACCTCAAGTTTGCACAAACGAAAGAGTATTTTCCAAATCCTGCAAAAGCAGGAGGCACTGCCAGGCAGCTAAATTTTCCTAACAATGGAAGTCCAGGCTCGATAAATGTGCTTTATCAGGATTCCAGTAGGCTGTCACCATCTAAGGGCACTGCGGCTGAGGTTGTTAACCGAGGTCTGTTTTACTTCAAAATGCAGACTGCCTTATGATTCATGACCAACAATCAATTTTTGTTATGATTCCTGTTTGATATTTGTTGAACCTCACAGAAAAAAAGATCTTGCTAATCCCGATTTGGGTAGTGTCACATCATTGTAGGTGGTGTGTAAGTTTTAATTGGTGATGTTTGCAGGTGCTGAAGAATCTATGATCTCTTTCAACCTGGATGCAACGCAGGATATTCATCGTGCTCTCTCTCTTCTGTCAACGAGTCCTTGGGTCTCAGGCGAGGGGAAATCTGTTCCACTTGATACCAATCAAAGTTATCATAACAACTCACCTCAACAGGGGATGCATGCGATGACTCAAGGTGTGCCAGCCTCTTCAGAGTACTGGCAAACTCAGCATCCATCCCTAGATTCCCAAGCACACGTTTCCCACTCACACAGTAATGTTGGCAACCAATTTCAGGATCTTCATCAGTTCAAAGCGCCGTACGAGTTTGGCTATAACCCAAACCAATTCAGTTGACTCCACCTGGGGTACTGTCCTTTCACCCGCATAACTTATCATGTTAAGGTTGGTTCCTTTGGCGGAGTTTTTTTTGTGCATTGCGTATCTGATCTTACCGCTATATTTGCTTTTTCTTCGCCTCTTGATTACTACACTGATGAAGTTTTGTGTTGAAAAAATTGTGAGACCTGAATCTCTGTTTTGAGTACCTTTTTGGTAGACGCTGCTGATAAAAATCTGTCATTGTCTTCCAGAAACTGGGCACTGCTTTGGTTTTTCAAGGACGAAATTCCGGGGATTAGGCATATTATCGGTTGCGAATGCAAGAGCTGTGTATGCGTTTAATCTGGTGCTACCATATCTCCTTTGTTATGGCTTGTATAATTTGACAAATTGTAGCAAATTGGTTCACTGTTACATTGCTTTACACATGCATTTTCTTTCATTTGTTGCGACTTGTACGTCAAATTGAAAGGGGATGTTAACATGCCCCTCCCAAAGCTCAGATTTCTTGCAACTTTTAACAGGGTGCTGTGAACCTTGAAGGAATCCACCGGACTTTTTGTTTTCCGGTGGTCAAGGAACTTAAGAGATAGATCCCTTACCGAGAATACCATTCGAACCTGTACGTATTTCATGAGCTGCCGTCATCATTTAAATTTCGCATATATACATTTGACAACACTATCTATTCTTCTCTCTTAATAAATACTTCTACCAAATGGAAAAAACAAAACCAATTTCCGCCAGCCGATTCTTAGCGCCCAACCGCAATCACAATGCCTTGGCCGCAACTCGTACCTCCATGCAGCCAGGTCGCCTGCACCGTTCACAAGGCCAGGCCACCAACGTTCGCCTTCGAAACGCCGCCTTCAACTGGTTGTGGGAAATTGTAAACCTGAAAAATGGGCTCGTTGCTCCCTATATAACAATGGGGAGCCAGAAGGATTGTACATATTGACGCAAAAGATTATTTTGACCAACCACGGCTTTCTGACAATTTTTTTACCTCTACAAATTTTCAGGAGAGGATCCGGCGAGAATCTTCCAATCATATCCGTTCATTGTTCATCGTGCGGTTAAAAATCATGTAAATTTTTTAAATTAAAATTGAACATAAACAGTACTTGACAAAACTAACCACACGATGTACGATAAACGAATGTGATTGGAGAATCCAGCGAGGATCCTCACTCTACAAATTTGACTAAATGAAGAAGAAAACCAGACCTTAAATTCTATTGAAATAAAATAAAAACAACTCAAGGGCCACTTTTTTTCAATTTCGCATTTATTAAACTCACCACTCAGCTAGCACAAAATCTCAAACTTTCAAACAGAGACCCAATTTGACCTGACAGAAACATAAAAACTCAGCGATGAAAACGTATTTGTTTTTTTTTATTTGAAAAACGTTACAAAGTAGAATTAGATTGAGACCCTTGGCACAAACATGATGCAGTTTGTTCAGTCGAAACTTAACTTAGATCCCGAGACCTGTCATATGAACCCCCAATTTCTTTGCTGCATATGAGGTGTATTATGTCACTCTACACAACAAACACGGGGAAGGATGTATATCATGACACTGAACGGCCTGTCAAACAGTAAACATAATTTTAAAAAGGCCACAGGATTAACGACGGCCATAAGACGTGGAACCACCATATACCAGAGCCAAAGTCCTGACAGAATTTCAACAGCCACAACGTGGAAACAAGGCAAATGGGCAACTCGAAACTGAACTATAAGCAACTGACTAAAAAAGAAACCTTTCTGTCCCCAACTCTTTAACAGTAAGACAATCAAACTTGGGGGGTTCATACGCTTCTAACAGAAGTACCGGTCAAACCATAGATACTTAAAAGACGGACAATTTGAATCAAATGAAAACCAGAAACATACGGACTACAGTAACCTTTATAGCCAACTGGTACCATATCATACGTGGTAACGTACTGACTAGAAAAGATGAATTGATTCCAAAAGCAAAGGGTCTAGCTAATAGAAACCAGAATCAACCTGTAAAACGCATGCCAGATGGTACTGGCGGACACAAGATGCATTGTACAATCCACAAAGACCATAAATACCATAGCAGTTAATACAACTTGACACAGATCATGATAAAGTAGAGTAACTCGATAACCGCTGCAACACGACGACAAGACTGACTTTCAGACACCCATATTGAGCAATGCTGGATGACAACTCTGGACCTTCTCAACCCTCAATTATGTCTAGTACTCACTGGAACAGTAGACAATTATAAATTAACAGATGCACTTGAAAAATACACAAGGAAAATTAAACAGCTAGAATCAAAATTCACTACAGTTTAGAAACAAAAATCAAGTGCAGAAGAAAAGCTTTTAAATTGATCCATTAATAGTTCACAGCATAAGATGTATATTATGTTTGAAATGTGTATACACATCACCAAAAACAAGGATTCCAAGCAACCAATAGAAATCCAGAGAAAATATCTAATGCAACAAACCTGATTATTTTCATTCGGAGCAGGTGAAGGGGACTTCTTTGACTCGGCTGGTTTGTCCGCTCCACAGTTCTGTCTGTTACACTTGGTTCTAAATGGATAGTTTATATTATTACATTTCTCACACTTCCAGCTACCTTCTGGCATTTTTTGTTCTGTAAACAAAAATAGTTATTGACGTTAAAAAAGAGGACAACAAAGTTAATAGAGTCAAGAACAATGAAAGGAGAAAGGAATTAATTCGGTGAGAACAACGCCTGGGATGACTTACTAGAAGTTTTGTCACTCTTTGCAGGCTGCTATAGAAAAGAACATTGCATGTCAGAAAAATTGATCCCCAAGAGAAACTTATATGTAAAATATTCAGAGAAAAGAGATACATAAATGCATGTGTGAGAGAGATTGAGTGAGAGAGAGAGAGACCTGAGATCCAGGCTTTGGCGTATTGCACTTCCTCATGTTACAAACAGTTCTAAATGAGAAGTTGACATTTCCACATTTTGGGCATGCCCAGTCATTGTCACGTGTAGCATCTAAATGTGCAATAAAGTTGAAAATTCAATGATCATTTCTATATATATTGTTTACATGATGTCCAACAACGACTAGTGATTCGAAAGGAGACTAGATGACTCACCTGTGCCCTTCTTTTGAGCTTTATCATCTGGAAGGAATCCTGGCCTTGGTCCCTGCACAGAAAATAATACATAAATTTTACCACATCCAAGATCAAGGAATTCTGTTGCAAGTTCAACAAAAGAAAAGAAATGTTTCCTCTGAACTTTGGAAAGAAATATATAGGAAAATTTGAGAGCCCAAATAGCATCAAATGTAATTAAATGACTGAGCAAAAATTGGATTAAATTATAAAATAGCAATAGAAAACATGTATCAAGCAGATTGTTCTAGGGAACGAAGATGACTAAATGTGAAGAATGCAACAATAACAGTAGCTTTTGCACATACCATAGGGCCAGGGCCCATGGGCAGACCCAGGCCAAACCGATCCATCATAGGAGGGGGCATACCATACATTCCACCTGCAAAATTAGAAAATCAAAAGAGAAACCATAAGACACTAAATCATCTAGCAATAACAGTCTCACATGGAACTTCCATAAGCAAAGGTTACAGCAACATGGGAAAACCACAACATTGTATACGGGAAAAGAAAAACTTGCTTAAACAGCGTATAAAAATCAATGTACTTAACTAATCCATTACCCAAGTAAGAAAAAACAAAATCATCATAGGATAAATCAAGAAAGCGTACCATTTCCAATCATGGATCCACTAGAATATGGTGTTGGTCCAGACAAATGCAGAGGTCTGTAGGGGCTGCCTGTAGATAGGCGGCTGCTGTAGTTGTAATGATATGCTGACCCCCCTGAAAATGGAACATCATACGGAGGAACGGATGATCCATTGAAGATAGAAGAACCATAGGGTGGCACACCAAGATACATTGAGGAGGGTGCAGCAGAGCCCAGATAAGGAGCAGCAGACGTGTAACCTTGTGGGGCAGGGAAAGGCTTAGCAGCGGGTTTCTGAAATGTACAAAGCTCGGATCTTAATATCTATATCTAACATAATTAACCCAACAAAGATTCCAAGTCAAACACAATTATCAAAAATATAATCAGCCCAAATATACAAGTGTTCATTATAAAAAGCGAAGTTTGGCAACATAAATCCCCTTTGCCGCTTGACCTCCATCTCTCTTTTGTCTTTTAAACAAAAAAGCGAAAACCAACGGACAAATCATGCAAAGTTTCAACAACAAAAATAGCAAACGGGATTGAGAAAGCGACTTCAAAATTTCAAATATGCATTATAAGCATCACACTCATCCAATTAACATAAGTATTTAGTGTAATCGTGGTCGGTGTCTTACTGAGTTATGATCCGCAGGCCTTGGCTGAGTGCAATTACGCATATTGCAAGTCGTTCTAAATGAAAAATTATCATTCCCACAGCTAGGGCAGGTCCAATCATCTTCCCTTCGACTACCTACAAACACCATATGTACGTATAATGAACTCCGAAATCATAACACCAAAAATCATACAAATTCATTAAACCCTAAATCCACAATCAAAACTTTATGAATCAATACATGCACATTATATACAATTACAGATATTAGATTTTCCAAATAAATGAACTAAAATAAAACAAAAAAAATAAAATCATCTGTAGCTAATAACATAAAAAAAACGTCACTTACTACTACGGTCTAGTAGTATTTCTCTTCACTTGTAAGTAAGAGGTCTTAGTTCTCGCCAAATGCGAGTTTAAACTACATTATTGCTAGCATATTGTGAGGCTAAGCCCACCCCCTCCCCTTAGTGTAAATAATATCGTTTGTTAAAAAAAAAAAAAAAAAAAATACAAAAAAAGGAATCAAAGGACCTCAATTAAAAAATTGAAAATTTGAAAAAAGGCATACCATCGGTTCTAGCACGCTTGGCTGCTGAAGAAATTCTGTTATCAACCTGAACACAAAGATATCAAATTTATTCGCGGCTAAAAAAATTGGAACTTTCGTCCGGCGCGCCAAAATCCCTAATTTTGGCTTCCGTCGCGGTGATTTGGAAAAATGCAAAGGCAAAAATTGAAATTGAATGAAGTGGGAGGCGATTACCTGAGACATATCAACGGCGAGATATCAGATTCCGGTTCGAATATCAGAGAGGAACGCAATTTGCCCCAACAGAAACAACGGTAGCGCTGGCTGTCTGGCTGGAGGACTCGACGAAGATATTGTGAGGGTTCTTCTATACGATTATGTGGATTTGATTGGCCGGTCGATCGCAGCGCAGCGTTTCGTGTTTCCCCTTCCCCTCTCAGATTGCAAGTTCGGTTAGGATGGACGGTCCAGATGGAACCGAATCGAAGACTATTAGGTGTTTTTTTTTTATCTTTTTCTTAAGTAAGCGTATATGTTCACTTTAACCATGGGACACTTTAAAGACCTTGACCTAGTGTGCATGAGGCCACGAGCAACACTGTTGGCTTGGCGACGCACATGGATGATAGTAGCTCCGATGATCATACGCAACATAGCTTTCACGTCCTCCACAATATGTCTACACGAGACACATTGTAAGATAGGTCTTGCAACATTGTGATGATTTGAAGAGAGCCGCTCTTCGTTATTAAGAATAGCAAGCGAAACTATAATTGATTAGTGAGTGAGTAAATATGTGTAAAGTCGAACATGATTGTTCTAAACAAGACGGAACACTAACCTTCGAATGGTGTCGGTCCTACATATCGTGAACGGATTCACCTCTGGCATTTGGACACGTTGGAATTAGCTCATCGGGTGGAGCACGGTCTGTCAAAATCCGTATAGGTTAGGTGCCATCGATGAATGTATAGTAAACCAAACTTTTTTCGAAATATTGAGTTTGAAGTGTTTTTATCCCAGTTTATACAAGAGAAGTACATGCATTTTTCTGTCTTTGCAACGTTACAATTGGACAGAGGTTAATGCCAGCGCACAGTCCTGCTCTGTGGACAGGCTGACATGGTATCACAGGCAGTCCTATTGACTTTTGACTGCAGGGAGTTTGGACTAATGGCAATTACTGGTGGCGCCGTTCCCAGCCAAGCGACGTACATGCTCCCCACTTCCCATCAGTCAAAATAATGACCACAAGCAAGTTAAACAGTAGAGAAACTCAATTTACAGAGGTAAAGATTAACTCTTGGCTGTGAAAATTATTGTGAAGTGCCAAAAACCCTTTGACACTTCTGTTCTTTGTCAGCTGCCGCGGTGTGAGAAACAGTATATTTTGGTGCCTTTACTTTCTCTTTGGCTTGAGCAGTTGAGCTACCAGAGGACCATTTACTCATAGAATTGAATTCCAAGGCACAAATTTATTTAAAAGTTCATTGTTCCCTGCATATACAGCACGACTCCTATTGGCGTTTTCAAAAGTTGTTTCTGCATACAGTTTTCTCCTCCTGTGATTTTCTATGTACATGTGAGCATAGCCAAAATTAGCAAAAGAAGATGCTCTCCTATGCACCTGAGTTCGTCGTATTTTCTTTCCGCAATTTAGATAAAGAAACCTTTTTGATGATTCAAATATTTACTGCTTCAAATGTTTGATGATTCAGATAAATACTAATCTGCTCCCACCACAACAAATGAACATTAAACTTAGAAGTTTGCCAAAGTGGGCAACTACAGCATGCAGTTCACAAAACGTAGATACCGAGTCCAAGGAAACAACAAATTACCGCAAAGGCAATCAAATGTTAACAACCCTAAAAAGATCACACAGAAACGACCAACAAAAAGGACGTAAAATATTCCTCACAAGAGAACCTTCATCTTCTGATCAGATGCTAGCTAAACATAGAAAGCAGGGAATGCAAAGAAAACGATGGCCACAGCCATTGCCCTCAGACCAGCATGCTGGGGTCCAAGCTTTGTAACTCCGTTGGAATTGCGGGCCTTTTCCGGTGCCGATTGTTGTCCGCCAGCTCCAGTAGTGGGAGTTGCTGTTGATGATGCATTATTGGTGAAGACAGCAGCCTCAGGTGAGCCCGCGGGTATGCCTAAAAGCCCTGGCCATTCAAACCACAATATTGCAAAGTCATTAATGAGGTAGGATTAAGATCTTTGTGTCACACATTAAGTAAGGTTAATTAGGATACCCTAATCTAATAGAGAAATGCTAAGAAAACTTTCACAAAAGCGAGACTCTCGGACTCTCAGTTACTTCATGTTTTTGGCGTAATGTTTTATAATGTTGGCACGGAAATTAAAGTTAAATTGTGAAATGGCAGAGCAGAGATTTTTCAGTGTGATCGGTATACAGGATGGTACATCACGTGTCTTTCAATGTGATCGGTACACGGGATGGTACATCACGTGTTATTATACAAATTATGGGATATGTGTGCTTAAAAATTAATAACTTAAAAAATAAAATTTCCCACCACTCCTATTAAAACACATAGTATACCACTTTTGTTCTTATCATAATTAAAAATTTCTCGTAGCAGAGAGTCTATGAAAAATTTCACTTTTGAGCATTTCTCAACCTAATAAAGAGCCAATCAACTTTTTAACCTAATTAATGGCTATCTACTGGTGCCAGTGGCCGTATATATGTGAGCCATATTTCTGGTTGGTGGTTGGAGTGGTGGTGGAGCCAGGATTTATCGTGAGAATAGGCCTCACACAGAGAAGAAAATTTGAATAGTGGTTATAAAGTTACTAATGTAAAACATCATAAATAAAATTAATAATGCAAAACATCATAATATATAAATATATATCCGAATAATTAAGTAGTCAAAATTAACATATGCATAGATAATTGGGAACTTTAACGAAAAGCTCACAATACTGTTCACTTTAACGAAAAACCACATTTTTACACTAAAAAGTCAATCCTGATTCTATTCATTTTACCCTCTATTTTGTCCTTATCGTTAAAACTCAAAGTTTTCAAGTCATTTTCATTAATTTTCCTTAGATAATTTTATCTATTCATAGTAATCATAATTATTCTTGACGAATTTCATATTTCGAAACCGTTGTATGATATCATCAATACTTCTATTGAAAGAATGATTAAACTCAATAGAGAGAACTAATAAAAATTTTGGAAACCCTAAAACTCAAGTACGAGGTGGGATAGAATAGAAACAAATGTTTTATAGAGTATTACAAACCTTCTTGCTCTTTATTCAATAAATTTGGGATTTGGAATGGCTAAATATACGAAATTCAAGAAGAATAGGGAATAAATATGCCTGTGCATAAGTGAAAGACAATTTGTTTTTAATTAAAAGTGAATGATGAATTTTAATTTAAATGTTATTGATTTGTGATAGGGTAGTGCTATCACACACCTCTCTCAATTTTTGACCGTCGAATGAACTGAAGAAGTTCAAATGACATAAATTAACATGGGTGTGTGGAAGATAAAAAATTGCATGTGGATAGCACTACCCTTTGTGATAAATGACCATTTAAAATATATACTTAATTTTTGGATGAGATATGTTGGATGAAAAATAAATAATGATTGAATTTGTTGTAATTGTTGAGAAGGGTTGCAAAGCAATAGAAATAGAAATAGAAATAAGTGTAATACTAATCTTATGTTTTGTAAAGATAATCTCTTTAATATTACTCGAAAAGGAAAATTTTTAAAAATCCAAACTTCAAATTTCCCAATTTTTTCTTCACACTCTCAAGTGGTAGGATCCACTCAACATTTTCCCCCATGTCACATATTACCAAATGAGTTCATATTGCGGAGAAAATTTTCATTATGAACGGAACACGGATGGTTTATAACATGTTTTTATATAAGTGGTAAAAAATTTATTTTGTAAGTTATTAACTTTTAACACACATATCCTACCACTTACATAATGATATGTAATGTATCATCCTGTGTTTCGGTTACACTGAACAATCTCTAAGAATATGGGACTCCTGTCAGAGACTTGAAATAAAAAAAATTGAACACGGTTTATGTTCTAGCATCACCTACTTTATCAATCATATTATTTTGATACGCAAAACTAATTTGCATCGCTTTTAACAAATGAAACGACTAGTTTGATTATTTAAGAGAAGAAAACTGAATTTCATAGATAAAATGATCACTGATGGGGTTGCTTGTTTTCCTTTTTCTTTTTCCTCCTTTCCGTTTGCAATTTTTGTTGTTATGTTCATTTAAGACGTTAAGAGGTAATATGCAATATCCCACCATCATTAACTAAACACAAATCTACACTTACTAGTTACTATATAGATTTGGTCCTTCCAAGTACTGCATGCGCCTTATTTAACGAAGTATATTAGGACAAGCCCTTGGAACTACTGTCTATGAGTATCCCTCCCAATTGAAAGTGAAATGTCCTAAATTTAACTCGCTGACAAGTTTAATACCTAGTTACAAACTATTTGTGATTTAACTTAGTCCAAATCCAACTCAAGATTTGTATTAAAGAAAAGTAATATATCAAGACAGGCATGTAAACCTAAAATGATACCGTTCTAAAACTTACTAGGGCAATCGGAGACAGTGGCGTTTTTTAAGCTGCATGCAGTGGGGAGCTGAAGCAACTTGGCCACCTGAACCCCCATCTTCTTAATCTCCTCGCTCCCGCTGTTCGCCTGCTGCATGACGTAACACAGGCACTCCGGCTGAGTCTCCCTTATCCCCTTCACCGAATCACAGCACTCCTTCGTCGGCATCTCCGCCTTCCCTGTCGCGTAGCTCAAGCACACCGCAACCTTCTGGAACTTGTCGCTGCACTTCTCCGCCACCGTTGGCGCTGCCGCTCTGACGTCCCCAACAGAAGCGCAGGCGACGAAAACGGAGAACAACACCGCAATCATTTTCCTCGTCATCTTCTCAACGAGCTATTTCAAGAATTTTGTATTTTCTTCTTTGCGTATGAGATTTGATACTGTGGAATAACAAATTGGCTGGTAAGAGGTAACGATATATATAAAAGGGAAATCTTAGAGTAGGTCTTGTATAAGTAGCTCATTTAATGAAGGGGAGTTGGGTGTTGAGTACTTTCAATCTGGACCGTCCACGTCAGCTTGGGGTGGCATCGACCATTGTGATGTTTATACAATGGCCAATTTTGTTTTACGAGGAAAAATGTTAGATAGACCATATTTTGATATCACATGCATACTACTTAAAATAATAAGTGTTGTATATGCTTTATATCGATTAATGAATCTATCTAATAATAATAGAATGTTGGTTGTGTGCATTATTTACAGCATCATATGGTACGCAAATGTAATATTTCTAGCATTACTCCTTTATGATAAAAGAGATTTGCATGCAACGAAGACAATTAAAGATCTATAGGGAGACAAGTTTTACACACTTATTTTTAAGAAAAATTAATGAAAATGGCTTGAAAACTTTGAGTTTTAACAATAAGGACAAAATAAAAGGTAAAGTGAATAATACCAGGATTGACTTTTCAATGTAAAAATATGATTTTTCGTTAAAATAAACAATAAACTTTTCGTTAAAATTCTATTTTTACTATTTCCTCCTATCATATAAGTTAGATCTCTCTTGTTTTTCAGATGGACTTTAAGACGTTATGAACGGAGGCCCATTGGGGTAGTTGGGCCGCATTTAATAGCTTCCAATGAAGTGAGCTGTAGGAATGTGCACTTGACGAGATGAGGTTTTGCTTTTGGTGAAGTGAGCTGTAGCCTTTGACCACGTGGAAGCTCCGTGATGTGCGAGATTCGAGGGTTCAAATGCTTTCCTTCTCGGGAGTCGTTCAATGATCCAACGGCTCAGACTAAAATACGACAACAACAATGATCGATGATGGGCCCCTAAGGGCCCAAGAAATGTTAGGCTATTGGTGGGGCCTAAGCTAAGCCCATGTTCACATGAAAGTCGGAACATCGCAATAATTATGTCCGCTTTCCTCTCAAATTGAAAATGGATCGGTTCCGTTCATTTTATACCAAAAAAAAAAAAAAAAAAAAAAAAGTATATGAATTGAACTATACCGAGCCATGCTTACATATTTTATTTTTTGCATGTTCGGAGGGTAGAAATTAAATTTTATGCAAAAGGATCTCTATTCAATAAATGAGAATTAGTTGTAAAATTCACTCCACATCGAATTTCAACTATTTGAACCGTTTAGTTTGCTCGATTCATAGATCATTCTTACAAAAATTCAGTTCAATCTGAAACATTTATCTATTTAATTATCACAATGAAATTTCATCGTTTATTATAAAACAAAGTGTTCATCAATTTCTTTAAACTCAATTAGATATCTCAAATATTTTTGATTTGACTAATATTTTGTAAGAATAATTCTAAAAGATGCAAATTGAAAAATAAACGGTTAGGATCGTTAAAATTCGATGTAATGTGGACCCACACCTTGAAAAATGGAATTCCTTCCCTTAGGTACCTCCTATATATATATGTTTGTGTGTGTCTATATATATATATATATATATATATTTGGTTGGTATAAATCGTAAAAGAAAATTGCTATTATGTTTAGATTCTCATGACACTACTATTCATGGACTACCGGACTCTTCCAAGGCAATACTCCACATCTTTTTTTTTTTTTTTTTTTTACGACAAAAGTTTGTGATATAACATGCCAACCGGCAACCACTACCCCCACATTGCATGTTTGTTACCTTTTGATATCTTTTTTTCTTGCTAAGTTTTTGCCTGCCAATCATGCACCAACAATAATTGCGGTTATAATTTCAGCACTGGTTGAGACAAATCAGCCAGACTGCATCCACGGCAAAAAAGTCTCCACGCCCGTGGCCAAGAGTATTTTAAAAAGATGATTGGTGACGAGCTACAATTAATTATTTTTTTAGTGCTCGAAAGAGGTTAGTTGGATTTCATCGTTTAGTTTTGAGAAAATACAAGTATTCATTTTTTACATGAAATTTGTATTTTCTCGTTATTTTAGTATAACAAAAATACTCTGTACTAATATTTGTCGTTCATGCTATTTGAATTGCATACTGTATTGTAGCTAATCACTTCGACTGTACCCTTATGTTTCATCGGTCTAATTTACCAAAACCTTCGAAAAAAAAAATCAGTGGGGTAAGCAAACCTAGCCGATAGGTTTATAAATTTTTCCATTCAACTTTGTGCTAAGCCTACAGTCCCAACAGGGAAAAAAAAAGGTTCCTTAAATTTAAATTTGTAGCCAACAGTTTCATTAAATTGGATCTAATCAAATCGTTGTTAATGATTGAATTATTACTTAAGCGTTAAGCGTTGATTAACGTGCTTATTTCCTATTAGTGATACATCATTTGGTTTGCAAATTTGATTTCAAATTTGGATAATGCTAGAGGTACTAAATTTGTAGACAATTTGTAAACTAAATAATGTGTCATCAATAGAAATGAACACGTTATCAACGCTTGAATAATATTTCAATCATCAATTTTCATGTCATTTAGTTTATAAAATTCTGGATACAAATTTAGTCTCTCTAGCATTACCCTTAAAATTTTAGTCTCCAAAGCATTACTAATCAAATTGTCATTCATAGATATTAGTGTAAATCTGTAGACTAAGAGCACATTTATTAGTTGGTGAAGGGCAATGACAATTGGAGGGCAAGGTCAACAAAATTGCTCTTACTATTCACTCCAAACAAGTATTGTCTTTGGGCAAGTTCACTAGTTTCGAAAAATGAAGGGTAAGGACAAGTGCGATTACTATTCACAAATATATCTTTTTTAATTTTTAAATGTTCTCTTCGTCTTATCTTGCATGTGTTATTATCGTCATAGATTTTTGCTAAAATTCTCGACCTTTCCTATAATATCATGTGTCATTATCCATTCATAAGAGCAACTCCAGCGTTGGAGCCCTCCCCCCTGGCAATTCACTATTCAATCCACCTAATGAACAGTAATTGCCCTTAATGAACAGTAAGTAGCCCTGGCAATAGATTTTGCATCTCCACCGTTACACTTCTATAGCCCTGGCAATAGGCAATAAAATATTAGTATTTTTTTTATTTATAAAATTAATACAAAAGAATTTTAAATGTAATATCGGATAAGATTTTTAATCGTTGTCGGTGCGCCACGTGTCATTATCCTAAGTATTATTAAATAATACAAAATAAATAATTATAATATGGATTTCTGATAAGATTATTAACCAATCACGTCGCGCCACGTGTCATAATCGGTTCACAATCTTTGAGGATAGATTTCCATCAGATTTTAAACGAATGACGACATGCCACGTGTCATAATCTGTTAACAATCTTGGATGATAGATTTCCATCAGATTTTTAACGAATGACGGCATGCCACGTGGCATTATGCAGAACCTAATCCTTTCTGAATCCTCTATATAATCCACCATCCATCTTCACAAATCTCACACCAAAATTCTCAAGATCTCTATCATTGATCTCAAAATTTCTGCTTCCTTATTCACAAAAATCAGTTTCAATATTCATAGTTTCTGTTTCTTTCTTTCAATGTCTTCTTCTTCTTCCTCAAGGATGATGTGGGAATTGAATCAGGAAGAGGAAGACTTGTTTAACCAATCAGAATCAATGTTCAATCAGCAGGGGGTAAGAAATGAGAGGGAAGAAGATGAGGAGCGTCAAATGAGAGATGACGACGTAAGAAGGGGCAGAGCCTCACATTCCCGTCGAGTCATCCAAGCTGCGGCTCAGATCTGCAGGCCCAGGCGTTCCGGAAACATTGATAGAAACAGGCAACGACGAGGTATGGAACTCTTGGATGATTATTTTGTTTCTAATAGTGCATTCCCTGATACGTACTTTAGACGTCGTTTTAGAATGGAACGACATTTGTTCAACAAAATCATGATTGCTGTTTGCAACCATGATTCTTATTTTGTGCAAAAAAAAGATGCTTTTGGTGCTATGGGTCTACTGCCGGAGCAAAAAATTACTGCTGCCTTGCGGATGCTTGCATATGGAGCATCTGCAGACCAAGTGGATGAGATAACGAGGATGGGGCAATCAACCATTCTTGAGTCCCTGATGAGGTTTTGCGGAGCAATCGAATCTATCTACACCGCTGAGTACCTCCGCAAACCCACACACATGGACTTGGAGCGGCTGTTGAAGAAGGCGGAGATGCGTGGCTTTCCTGGGATGATTGGAAGCATTGATTGTATGCACTGGACGTGGAAAAACTGTCCAAGTGCATGGCAAGGCGCTTACGGGGACAGAAAAGGGGCAAAAAGTATCATTCTGGAGGCGGTGGCATCTTTTGATACATGGATTTGGCACGCCTTTTTCGGGGTCCCGGGAGCTCAAAATGACATCAACGTCCTTGCCCAATCCCCAGTGTTCAACGATGTCCTGCAAGGAAAGGCACCAAAAGTTACATATGAGGTCAACGGACGTATGTACGACGGGCCATACTACCTAGCTGACGGCATCTACCCGCGCTGGTCAACATTTGTCAAAACCGTGCCACGTCCGCGGAGTGCGAAGGAAAAACACTTTGCAAGCTGTCAAGAGGGGTGCAGGAAGGATGTGGAGCGTTGTTTTGGTATCCTCCAAGCTCGCTGGGCGATCGTCAGGGGTGCGGCCAGATTGTTTGATGTAGAGTCGCTTCGATCCATCATGATGACGTGCATCATTCTTCACAACATGATTGTGGAAGATGAGTACGATTATGAAGCTGTTGATGAATATGAGCCAGACCCGATGAACAATTCAAGAACACGTATATATTGTGCTCATGACGCCACCGATGACCCCGTGCAACATGAGCCATTACAAAGGGATGGACGTTACAATGAAAGGCTCATTCAACGATATACTGCATTTCAAATGCCAGACATGCACAATGCCCGACAAATTGACTTGATAGAGCACCAGTGGGCATTGAAACAAGCTGAGGATAATTAAGTTCATTTTAGTGTGTTATTTTGAATTTGGTATGTTTATGTTATTTTATTTGGTGTGTTTTATTATTTGGTATGTTTATGTAATTTTTTTATGTTTATGTTTATGTAATTCTTAGTATATGTTTATGTTTATGTTTATGTAATTTTTTTATGTTTATGTTTATGTAATTTTTTTATGTAATTTTTTTATGTTTATGTTTATGTAATTCTTAGTATGTTTATGTTTATGTTTATGTAATTTTGTTATGTTTATGTTTATGTAATTCTTAGTATGTTTATGTTTATGTTTATGTTTATGTTTAATGGACTTTTAACAACATAAATAACTTACCAAATTAAATAACTTACCAAATTAATTCTTAATATAAATAACTTACCAAATTAATTTGAATAAATATTCATGAACATGGAAACAACATAAATAATACAAACAATAAATAATAAATTACAACCCAAAGTGATTGGAAAATTATGGGCTCCGATTACAAAAAGTACTCTATTCATCATCACTTAACCAATTTGTGCTGCTAGGATGATCTTCTCTTGCGGTGCTAGAACCACCTTGGCTTGCTATTGTTTCTCTTGCACGCCTCCTTCGCACCACGTCCGCTTTCTCTGACTTCCAAAAAAATTTAGAATTTGGAGACTTCCCTTCTAAAGACATGTTCATAATCTCACGATCTTGTTGAGCTCGTCTTTCTTCTCTAACATGTTCCCTTTCTTGCCTAAGTAGTTCTCTTTCTCTCTCATTAGCATAAAATTCTCTCTCAACAGCTGCTGCTTTTGATGCCTTATCAGCCTTATCAGCCTCATCTTTCGCCAGTTCCCTCGCCAAAGTCAATTCACCTTGGCGAGTAAGTTCTTCCATGAACTTTGCATAATCGTTCTTGGAAGCACTGCCTTTTCTCTTTGTAGCCTTCTTACCTTGAGGCCTAATTGGAAAACGGGTCGAACCCGACGCTTGTTCAGGGAGGGGCGTTTCGGGCACTTCTTCTGCATCATCTTCATGAACATGATCGGGTGTAGAGTTTAGAGGGGTGCTGTTCATGTGCACTTCTGGACCAACTGGCACAACTCTAAATTTAGGACAATCTTTGACAATATTCCAACATTCCCACCGGTTGAATGATTTATTTTTGCCTTTGGTTTTGGCAGCATACCAAGCTTGTGCTTGAAGTTCCTACACAATAAAAATAAGTAACAAATAAATAATACAAATAAATAATTATAATGAAAATAAGTAACTAGCAAATATATACATATATATATATATATAAGTAACAAAGATAATGAAAATAAGTAACAAAGCAAATAAGAAGGCTTCAAGTTTAGTAAATAATGAAAATAATTAACAAATATATATATATATATATATATACATTAATTTTAATGAAAATAAGTAACAAATAAATAATACAAACAACATAATTATAATGTAACAAATAAATGTAACAAATAAGTAACAATAACATAATTATAATGTAACAAACAACATAATTATAATGTAACAAATAAGTAACAATAAATAATAAATTTTGTACGTAACAAATAAAGAATACAAACAATAAATAATAATATCTTGTTACCATATCCGAGTAATTTTCCCCACTTCGAATATTATTACTAGCTTGTGCCAAAGCGTCTCTCCACGTACTAAACGATTGGCTAAGTAATTTCCAACGACTGGACATCGATTCTTTGGTTCTTTTCCCACCAATTTTCTCAAGATAATTGGTATGAATAAGACTCCACATTTCTCGCAACTGCATCTCATTACCCGTAAGCGAACTATGAGTAACTTCAACCCAGCTAGTACACAACGCAACATCTTCAATAAGCGACCAATTCGTACCTGCACCAGTGGTCATTTTGTTGAAAAAAAATGGATTCAAACTTTGAGACAAAGAAAGGAATGTGATTGAAAGTGGTTGAGAAAATATGAAATTGTTGTGAAGGTAGATGATAATGAGAAGGTATTTATAGAAAAGTAAAAACAATTTTTTTTACAATTTTTTTCAGATTTTTTTTTGAATTTTTTTGAATTTTTTACATTTTTTTTTGAATTTTTTTGAATTTTTTACATTTTTTTTTGAATTTTTATTCAATTAATTAATCTCTGCCGTTGGATATAAAAAAATTTGAATTCCAACGCTCCAGATTGTGCCACGTGTCACAACGGTAACTTTTCAGATTTTTTAAACTATTTTTTCATTTATTTTTTAATTTATAAAGCATTTTAATATCCACCGTTGATCTCAGATCGAACGGTGGATATTAAATCTGACAGTTTTAAAATTTTTTACCGTTGAGATCTAACGGTCCACATTAAGTGACCGTTAAGATCTAACGTACCGTGGGAAGCCACGTGGCTTCCCAACGGTAACAGACAAAAGTTTTTTTTTTTCTGATTAAACTGTCAGGACGCGCCCCCACGCGCGGGTGGGGTGCACGCGCCTGACACAAAAAAAATAAAATAATACGCTGACGCCACCCTGGCGTCAGCATGACGTCACTCCCACCCCGGGCTCAAGGCCTGTCGATTCCTCACGGGCCTGGGCCTCGGGCCTCCCCCGTCCCCCGGCCTGCGTCATGCTGGACGCCTTCCACCGGCCCTCGGGCCTTTGTTCTGGAGCCGGTCCCCCGAGCAAATTGCAACGGTGGGAGTGCTCTAACATCCGTTCAGATTATTGGTAAGATTCTCATCCATCCGCACTATCTAGCCGATGAAATTTATCTATCGTGGTCCACTTTTATCAAGACATCGCCAAATCAATACACAGCAAAGGACACACACTTTGTCCAATAATACTTTAAATACTTTTTTATTATTTAAATAATAATAAACACATTATTTAATTTTTCTTGAACTTAAAAAACAAAGAAAATTTTGATTTTTTTTTAAGCCAAATGAAAAAAATGAGTAGAGGGTCAGTACCTGAGTACCCGGCACTTAGAAAAGTTCCGCAACAGTAAGTAAGTCCACGTGTCGTCAGTCGAGTGAGCACCATTAGAAAATTGTGGAGATTAAAAAAATGTGAAGCATTCCCATCTCGTCCACCCCGCGACGAGAGTTGCGCACCCACAAAAACCAGACCAGGCAACCGCAGACAGGATTTTTGCTGCACTAATAATCGTATTAATGTCCCCATCGAAACTCCCCCCTCCCCTTCGCCCCTCCCCTCCCCTTCCAATCTCTCCACCTTTATATAAACCACCGCACACCGGAACCTAGAATCGCAACCGACATCTGCAGATTTACCCTTTTACATTTCACTTTTTTATTTTGGATCTTTATTGTTGGTGATATTATTAAAAAGTTTAACATGAAGAATCGGAGTCCATTTTCCGAGAGACCTGGGTTTCTCGCGGTGACTCTGGTTCTATTGATCGGCGCGGCGCTGGCCATCTCCAGCTTCTGCCAGGGTGGCACCTCCGTCTTCTACTCCATCGCCGGCCCCACATTTCTACGCGCCGTCGACAATAACTACTCGCCGGTGGCGATCCAGATCCAGGCCATCCTCCACTACGCCACGTCGCGCCAGACCCCGCAGCAGTCGCGAAAGGAGATCGGCGTGTCCTTCCAGGTCCTCAAGTCCCGCGCCCCCTGCAACTTCCTGGTGTTCGGCCTCGGCTTCGACTCCCTCATGTGGGCCTCCCTGAATCCACGCGGCACGACGCTGTTCCTGGAGGAGGATCCCAAGTGGGTCCAAAGCGTCCTCAAGGACGCCCCCCAGCTGCGGGCCCAGACGGTGCGCTACCGCACGCATCTCAAGGAGGCGGACCAACTCCTTTCCTCGTACCGCTCCAAACGGTCGTGCTCCCCGTCCGAGGCGGTCCTGCGTGGAAATACGGAGTGCAGGCTGGCGCTGGACAACCTGCCGGACGAGGTGTACGACAAAGAGTGGGACCTGATCATGATCGACGCGCCGCGCGGGTATTTCCCGGAGGCGCCGGGCCGGATGGGGGCTATTTTCTCTGCGGCTGTCATGGCGAGGAGGAGGCAGGGATCCGGTGTGACGCACGTGTTCCTGCACGATGTGGATCGGAAGGTGGAGAAGGCGTTCGCGAATGAGTTCTTGTGCAGGAAGTTTTTGGTTAAGGCGGTGGGGAGGCTGTGGCACTTCGAGATCCCCTCCGCCGCAAACGCGACGCACGGTGACGGCTCGCGTTTTTGCTAAATCCCGCGGCGGTCGTAACGGCGAGCTTGGATAGGTGGAGAAGCGTTACGCATTACTACTCGCTGCTTTCTCTCTCTCTTTTTTTTTATTTTTTATTGAGGAATTATTTTAATTTTATTTAATTATGAATTGTTTTTACAGTATTTTTATGTATTTTTTTAATTATTATAAAACGATTAGTTGAAATTAGCTTTTCTTTAATTTAAAAAAAAGACCGTTGCACTTAGAAAATCCCCCATCCATCTCCACTATTAGATTTTATTAATAACATGAAGTGCTTTTACAATATGATAATGTATGAAATGTGATAGTTCACCATTAGTTGAATGAGGATTCTCTTTGTGAGGATCTCCGAAGATCCTCCAATCACGTCTGTTTATCGTAAATCGTGCGGTTAATTTTTGTTAAGTACTGTTTATATTTAATTTTTAATAAAAAATTTACAATAATTTATAACCGCACGATTTAGAAAAAACTCATTCCTATTAGTTTTTTGGTTGTTCTTTTTTAAATATTAATAAGTTGACGGAATGATTAGTGGGCCTGGAATAATCGGATTTGGATCCTCTCCTAAGCTAATATAAAGGATCCTCCTGACCCATCATCGTGGACCGTTGGATTTTTATCCAACAGTTACAATTATTATAACTTTAAAGAGACCTCTCTGTTTGTAGCCGTTGGATTTTTATCCAACGGTCCACGATGATGGGTCAGGAAGATCCTCTCCATTAGCTCAGGAAAGGATCCAAATCCGGAATAATCGGCAAAAAGAAAGATAATTTAAATTAATTAATGATAATGGTGGAAAGTAATCCAATAAGATTCTTTTTGGATTTTGAGGATTCGTGAATCGTATCCGTTCATCGTACATCGTGCGGTCAATTTTTATCAGGTAATGTTTGTGTTTAATTTTAAATAAAAATATTTAACATAATTTTTAATCGCACGATGTACGATAAATGGACACGATTTACAAATATCTGAAATTCTTACAAAAAGGATCTCGATTCGAAAGTAATTGACCTCTCAACAGAACAATAATGGCAAGTTCGAATTTTATAGGTACTTTCCGACTTTAATTTTTTTTTTTGTAAGGCTTGTGAGTTAGTTGTAAAGACCTTGTCAACTGGAATGTAACTCGCGGTGTGTGGGTTACACCGCGGAACAATCCGAGGACTTGGGGCATATGCTTGACCGATCATATCATCATTAATTTAATCTAATTATTGAATTGCATGTTTATTTATTAGTTTAATTGATTAAAAATATTCATTTTTACACTCAAAATCTTGCGTTCGATATTCTCTTCAAATCCCGCTTGTTTTAAGAATAAAAAGAACTTATACACCCATGCTAATAGGCTTGGCTAATTGTAACTTGAACTTCGGCCCCAAAGTGGCATTCCCCCGTAATTAAATAGTATCATAATTGACTTTTTAGTGTAAAAATGTAGTTTTTTGTTAAAGTGAACAGTACAATGAGTTTTTTTTGTTAAAGTTCTCTTGTTTTTATTTAGGGTTTTTTTTTTTTTTTTGTCAAACGATATATTTTGTTAGATTAGATGTTCGATTAGCCACCAACGGGTTTGAACCCACACCTTCATGGAAGGGCTCAACTTCTTTCCATCATCGTGGTAAAGGACCTAGAAGGATCCTCTCCGAATCTTCTTTGTGAGAATCATGAGGATTCTCAAATCGTGTCCGTTCATTGTATATATTGCGATCAATTTTCGTCAGGTACTATTCATATTTAATTTAAAATAAAAATATTTAAAATGATTTCTGACCGCACGATGTATGATGAATGGACACAATTTGAGGATCCGAAAAGGATCCTCGTTCGTAAAGGGCCACTTGCTTTTATTTATTTAGTAAGGTTAGGTTAGGTTAGGGTTGCAAGGCAGACATTATTATCCTTCATTTGTTACTGTTTAGAGGTTATGAATTGCTACTTACCCTCGTTCAGATTTAAACTATTGATGCTTCTGATTGTTTGATCCTCTTGGTCTCTGCATGTAGATGAGGCCTTAATCTTCGACTCCATAATCTTCTTTGTGAAGGTCAAGAGACAGTGAGTGAACACTCCAATGGCCAATGTGTATTGTCTTTCGCACATTTTTGGAACATAAAACTTCGGTGTAATTAATGGTAAGAATATTTCTGTGACTTCTCACCATAACTTGTCTGCATTGCTGATTTCCCTCTAAACTTTTATTTTAACTAGTTTCTCCTAAAATAATACCAAATAACAGCTAATGAAGTTGAATGAAATGCATGTAAACATGACCAGTAAGTTGAAATTTAACTGTTTACAATGACTTGGGGTTTGAGGGTAGGGAATAATAGGCCCAAATGAAGTTCAATGGAAAAATCAGCAGTTGCTACAAGTTCCAAGAAAATATCAGCGAAATACTCGAAAGTAAAAGCTCTAACCACAAATTCTTTGCTTAATGCTTATTGACCAAGAAAGTAAAACATGCCTTATGTCAAGACTATTAGGTTTTCAAAAAATAAGATTAGGAAAAAGAAAAATAAAGACTTACTATGCTCCATTTATAACAGGAACAAGTACAATCAGGTCCATGAAATTACACATGTTTATTGTTACTAAAAGCAATATCATGATGAAACCCTAGGCTGGGTTAGTCATAGTATCAAATGTTTTTCTCCTGACCAAGAGGCAAGTGATGTTGGATGGCTGGGTCTGAGTGTGTGTATTGTTGAGGGTGCACAGCACAAAATCTGGCCGGTACAGCGCCAGTGCTAACCGGTCCTCCCCCAAAACCAAGCCGGTTGCGTCAAGCAAGACATGCCAAGAGTTCCTGTGTGCCTCCGAGATCCAATGCATGGAGTATTTAGCCCCATTGACAGTGGCCGGATAGGAAAACAGTCCCTTGGGACTATACTTGCACTTTCTCCTAAAGTACTGGCTAAGTTGTGACCCTTTTATCCTCAAATCCAACCAAGTTTCTGGTGCTGAAATAACCCTAGATTCTTTGGTACTTGCAAATTCCCTTATGGAATCAGTCTCCTCACCCACAATGGTCATATAGTAATTTCCTCTGAAGAAAGGGTAGCTCTCACCAATCATCACCATAGCATCTTTGTAATTTGCCATGAAAAGGACTAAATAATCCTCCTCCTGTAACCCACAGTGCTTCAATGCCCTATTCCTTGCTTGGACCTCAGGAATGGATACAAAGTTCCCTTGGAACGAAGATTTCTTGGTCAAGATGTCTAAAAGTCTTGAGGGTTCCATCTGAGTCCTGTCCAGGTCTGAGTGAGTGCTGCTGAATGGGGACAACTCTTTTGGTGCCACACTCTTGGGTGACTTGAGCTTATTGTCATGGGGTGGAGTTCCTGATGATTCTTCGTTGATCGAAAGATTATCAATGTCTAGTTTTTCGACATCTTCCACTAATCCATTGCAGTATTCTGGGTACTTTGCGAAGATGTATTGCTGAACATATTGCATCTCACTTGGTGTGATTGGACCTGACCATCTCAGATCAAGGCCTCTGAGTGAGGATATGGCTTCTGCTATCAAGTGAGCAGGAAACATGGTGTTTGCCTTCTGTAATTGAAACAAGTATAGCGGAATTAAATTAACACGTGAATTAGTAATACCACAAGGTGGTGCGACCGTCACACTTACAAAAAAAGGGAAAAAAGTATTGGGCTAATTAGTCCAAGAACAGAATTCAACGACCTTAATTATCATGCTGCTTGGTCTCCCATCTTTTCTTGGACTTCCATCTTGAGTTGGTGAGTTTGGTGAAGAACCTGAAGCCAATTCTTGGAGTTCACTTTTTACTCTATCCTAAAGAGCAGAGAATTGGAAATTTACAGCTCAAACTTAGCAACAATATTTCTTCTTATTCTTATTATCTCAACTACGATGAGAAGAATTTGAATTTGGGTGTAGAAGAAGAGCATAGTGCTCTACCCAACTTCACTATGCCAAGATATGTCAATGGGAAGTGATTTCCAAATACTCATTTTCTCTCGATGCACACCCTATTTATTCCTGGCCTTTCAGTTTTATTACTAAGGAGAACTAAGGGGCAAATGGAGAGAATGAATGGACGGAAATCATTTCCTTGTACCAATTAGGAGCAATTTTGAAGTAATTAAGTTACAGAGGAAAGTTTATGGACATATGTATATGTACCTTGAGTTTGCAATTCATGATGTCTTTTTCTTGTATGTTTCTTCCCATGCTGCTGCTCCCTCCTTCAGAAGCAGGAGAACATAGAAAATTGGGAGAGGAAATAGAAATGTTGAACAAGAAGCTGAGACTAGTCCTCTGTTACATGAAGATTATATGATGTAGGTGCAGGGTTGGGGTTGGGGAATCAAGTTGAAATATTAAATTAAAACCATATATCTTCAAGACAAAGAGAGCAATGCCAGCAAGTGATGAAAGCAACACCCACACACAGCATTTAGGACATTAATCAGAGTTTATTCAATTATATAATCCCCTTGATTAGCTCAGCAAACTATAATTATTCAGGTTAATTAACCCAAGTGTACACATTATGTCTACAACTTCAAATCTTTATTTTCAAACGTTCGTGACATGTTTACTTATTGGAAATGAGTGACTTTCTTAGCTTTTACTAACACGTACAAAATTTAAAAGCATGTTAGTCTAACATTACAACATGCAATCCAATACTTGAAAAGTCAAGAATCAATTGCGTTGATTATAGAAGTAGTTGATCTCGTAGCCTTTCCTCAACCCTAAACGAAAACTAAGTAGGGCATCTAGTTGATGGTTTAATTTTTGGATTTTTAACTTGTGTCACCCGTAAGTTTATATATTTTATAGAGAAATGCATGCGTGACACCGTCAATCAATCTAACTTACACAAAATAAAAGATTACAAAAAGTCGGAGACGACGAAATGTCAACAACTAGCAAAGTTTTTTTTAATAAAGATGCCAAGTATTTGGTCATCAAAGATTAATTAAATTATTGGGAGAGATGGCGACTCGTTGAGGAGGGCATATGCATTCAGGAATCTTTAGAAAAACGATAGGGACTCGTAATTTTGATGAACTCAGCCCTACGCCTTGATAAATTAGTAGATTTGAACCGAAGTTAATAATAATTTTAGGTGGGATTTGATTTGTGAAATAAAATTGTGCGATTGCCTTTGAATATTCACGTACAACCAATTGGTCTAGCCTTCTAGGGTTTATTTTCTAAGGAAAACTAATGAAAATAGTCTGAAAATTTTGAGTTTAAATAATAAGGACAAAATAAAGAGTAAAGTGAATAATACCAGAATTGATTTTTTAGTGTAAAAATGTGGTTTTTCATTAAAGTGAACAGTACCGTGGGCTTTTCGTTAAAACTTCCTATTTTCTACTTGTTCGGAAGGTGGTGTAGGGAATCATGTGTCAGTTTATTCAAAGTAGCGTGCTTTTTTCTCTGCATTCGAGTTTGAATGTTACTCTTTGTAGTGTAGATGTATTTAAAGTCAATATGTTTCCCCAAACCAGGGATTAGTTTATATGGTTCCCCAAACCAGGGATTATCAATATAATGCTTTAATTTAGTCACAACAACAATTCAAAATAGATGCGGTCCTAAACATTCACATCCATCAACCATTACACGCATACTGCTTGGAATCAAAACACTATTTGTTCATCTTGCAAGTTCTGCATTGTTTTAGCTCATTTGTCTACAATTGTCGATCAAGAAATTTGAACTCAAAATCTCGTTTAACAAAATGAAAGTACGTGCCGTCAGATAAAACTAATATTAGTTACGCTATCGTTCTTTAAAAATGATAGTTGTGTTGGATTGGTTTGATCCCTTTAGTGCAATCCCCCTTCCAAGTTCCAAACGTTAGTTGATGCACAGAAGGTCTTATTGCGTACGAGACGCCGCATGGCAGCAATTTGGTTGCTCCCTTGAGCCAAAGCCTTGAAGCAAAACGCTTCATATGTTTGCATTACATGATTGGAATTTTGCTAAATTGATACGTCGGCAGCATCTCATCTCCCAACCAAACACATTATTTCTTCACGAATATTGGACGGACTCGATTAGTATGATGATAATAATACTTGGTTTGATTATTGAAATATGCTGAAAGTATTTTGTGACCTCAAACAAATTACCCCAAAGAAAACTACGACTAAAATCGACTCATTTCGCAGACTTCGAAACCAACATTAAAGAAAAATATGCCCCCAATAGAAGTTAAGGGCTCGTTTGGAAGTGCTTTTAAAATAATTGAAAACGCTTTTGGTGAAAGTGTTTCTGAGTTCCAAAGCACTTGCATTTTTACCCAGGATTAGTTCTGAAAACACTCTTATCTAAAGCGCCTTCAGTCATTTTAAAAGCACTTCAAAGAGCCCTAATTGTATTGGATACGATCTTCGGACAGATGATTCTAAAATAGTAGGAAACTAATCTGGCCTTTCATAAAATCAGTAAACAAAGCATAAAATTCACAACCGAATAATACAGGCCAATGAATGCCTACTTTCTGAGTTATACCTAATTACATACCGAGCGAGTATATGGATAGATTCTGAGCCACGACTGCTGTGCTCACTGGTATCATGAATTAGCCCAAATCTGAACCAGACAAGAGGAGGGCACTGGGAAGGCCGCTATAAATTGGCACTCTGTACAAAAGTACGGTAAAAAAGGATTATCCCCGCTACAAAAAGTATTTCATCCGATCATCTCTTCTCATGGCATTGTACACAGCTTGGACCTGGAAATCACAGTAATATTCCATGTCATTGAATTACAAATTTTACCATTTTACTACATGAAAATTTGTTTACATCATGGATATAGAGAAAAAACATTAGCAAATTCGTGGCGGTTGTGCTGGGGAGAGGGGGGAAAACCTGTTCGCTAGAAATTACTTGAACAGGTCCAATGTTTACAGATACATATTTTCCCCTTGATGATACCTTCTGCCTCACACGACCCTGCCATAAAACACAATTATTTGAGAGTGGATTGAACTCGTGCACTTGATTGATTAGACATCGATAAACATATCAACAATCACATTTTCGAAAGTGATTCTTAATTCAACAGGGGCAACAAAAAGGATTGAAGAGCAAAGATTGTTGTTACATGTTACACCATCCTACCACTCGCCACATGATCCTTTTGTTAGTGTTTTGTATGAATGGAAGAAGAAGAAAAGAAGGCACTGAGAATGAAAATGATTGCTATGCTCTCTGCAAGTCACAGAGGAAGCTTTCTTCTTTTCTGTAAAGTATATTTCTCACTCTGCACACACAATCGTGCAAAAGGAATAATTCTGTTAACAATGCTTAGCTGGATCTTTTCCTTCTAGATAAAACGATCACAGCCACTCATCTAGCAATAGCTAGGATCATCACACATGGCACTCATGGCCTTACATATTTAGATCTTACACTTGGCAATTTCTAAGCACAAGTGAATACACAATTAAAAACAGGATTATTCTCAAATACTAATCAGCTCATGGCTTATAGTTCAACACTCCCCTTTAAGCTTTGAGCTGATTTGACTCCAAGCAAACCTCTGAGATAGCTGAATCGATCCTTTGCCAGTGGTTTTGTGAAGATATCGGCTAACTGCTCTTTTGTAGGACAGTAAACTAGATCAATGATTCCTTCTTGCAGAGCATCTTTGATAAAATGATATCTTCGATCAATATGTTTAGTCTTCTGGTGAAACACTGGATTCTTTGTGATAGCAATTGCAGATGTGTTGTCACACTGTAATGGAGTGGCTTCAGTTTGAAGTTCCCCAAAGTCTTCCAGTACGAACCTCAGCCAGATTGCTTGTGCAGTTGCCTCTGAAGCACTGATGTATTCTGCTTCAGCAGTTGAAAGTGCTACACATGTTTGTTTAACTGATGCCCAAGAGAAAATCCCACTGCCAAAAGAGAAGGCATATCCTGAAGTGCTCTTGCTATCATCCACTGATCCTCCCCAGTCACTGTCACAGAAGCCAATCACCATAGAGTTTGTACCTTTCACATACTCCAGACCATAGTCTAATGTGCCCTTAATGTATCTGAGCACCCTTTTGGCAGTTCCATAGTGTTTGTTTGTGGGAGAATGCATAAACCTGGCAAGTAAACTTGCTGCATACATTATGTCAGGTCTTGTAGCTGTAAGATACAGTAAGCTCCCCACAATCTTTCTGTACTGTTCTTCATTTGCTGGACCACTTCCATCATTCTTACTGAGTTTTTCAGCTGAAATCAGTGGTGTAGACACAGGCTTGCATTCATTCAACCCAAATTTATTCAACAAAGAAGAAGCATACTTCTTTTGATGAATAAAAATGCTGGAATTAGTTTGAATGACACCCATTCCCAGAAAATGATGGAGTAGACCCAGATCAGTCATCTCATATTTCATCATCATATCCTCTTTGAATTCGTCCAACATTTCATTGCTGCTACCTGTGTAGACAATATCATCTACATAGATAGACACAATTATAATATCCTTTTCTCCCCTTGACTTGATATATAGTGTTGGTTCACCAAGACTTCTTTGAAAACCACACTGGGAGAAGTATGCATCAATTTCTCCATACCAGGCTCGAGGTGCCTGTTTCAGTCCATAGAGAGCTTTATGAAGCCTATACACTTTATCTTCCTTGCCTTGCACTGTGAATCCTTCTGGTTGGTCTACATATACTTCTTCCTGCAGTACACCATTCAGGAAAGCCGATTTAACATCGAGTTGGTACAATCTCCAGCTCTTTTGGGCAGCTAATGCAATGAGAGTTCTGATAGTGTCCAGTCTAGCCACTGGAGCATAGGTTTCGTTATAGTCAAAACCAGGTTTCTGAGCATAACCTTTGGCAACCAACCTTGCCTTATTTTTCAAGACTGTGCCATCCAGATCCAATTTAGTTTTATAGACCCATTTAACCCCAATGACAGGCTGCATTGTTGGTCTATCTACTAATTCCCATGTACCATTCTTCTCAATCATAGTCAACTCATCCTGCATTGCTTTTAACCATGATTCATCTTGAGCTGCATCTGCATATCTTTCAGGCTCCATAACACACAGATTACATTGAGCAAAAATATCATCAAGATTTCTCCATTTCAGAGGTGTGTGGTCAAAAGTTTCTGACAGCTTTCCAATTTCAGGAGTGCAACTTACTTGTTCTTGTGTATGAGAAGAAGAACTAGAACTGTGAGAACTTCCTTCAATCACACTCATCTCATATGAATTCACACCAACTACATTCTCAGGTTGATCCTGAATGTAAGTTGCAGCAGCTGAACTTTGTGAACTTTCTTTCCAATTCCAGGTCATAGATTCATCAAAAATCACATCTCTTGACAAGATTAACTTGTTAGTACACGGATCAAATATTCTATATCCCTTCTCACATGTAGCATAACCCACAAATACGCCTTTAACACTTTTAGCATCTAGCTTCTGTCTTGTCTCAGTAGGTATATGAACATAGCACAGGGAACCAAAAATCTTGAGATGTGCAAGACCTGGTTTTCTGCCACTATAGGCTTCAAAAGGAGTTGTATTTCCAAGTGCCTTCGTAGGACACCTATTTAGAATATATACAGCTGTGTGTACAGCTTCAGCCCAAAGAACATATGGCATACCTCTATCATGAAGCATAGTCTTTGCCATTTCAACCACAGTTCGATTTTTTCTCTCCACCACTCCATTCTGTTGAGGAGTATAAGCCATGGTGAGTTGCCTTTGAATGCCTTCAGTTTCACAAAATTTAGTAAACTCAGAAGATAGGAATTCCCCACCCCTGTCACTCTTTAGACTTTTAATTTTGAAACCACTTTGCAGCTCTACCATTGACTTGAATTTTTTGAAATAATTGAATGCATCAGATTTGTATCTGAGAAAGTACACCCAAATCATCCTTGTACAATCATCAATGAATAGCATGAAATATTTGTTTCCAGCCAGGGATGGATTCTGCATAGGACCACACAGATCAACATGGATAAGTTCCAGGGGACAGTTTGCCCTCCAGGATTGTTTCTTTGGAAACCAGTCTCTATGTTGCTTTCCAAACTGACATCCTTGACATACATCTTTGATTTCTTCTAGATATGGAAGACCATGCACCATATTTTTCTCACTGAGTTGTTGCAACCCTCTGAAGTTCAAATGACCTAGTCTTCTGTGCCAAGTCCGAGTAGAGTGTTCTATGCTTGCTTTCAGAACCAGCTGATTGTCAGGCAATAGGGAAAGAGGATAGCAACGATTTTCTTTCTTCTTGACCTTGATGACAAGATTGTCAAGTGAAGGTCCATCAAATACACTACACAAACCTCCTCCAAACACTAGATAGTAGCCATGCTCATCCATTTGACCTACACTCAACAAATTCTCCTTCAATCCTGGCAAGTGCATGACCTCTCTGATGTACTTCTTCCCTTTGTTAGTATCAATTTCCAATGAACCCATTCCAGCAACATCTACTAACACCCCAGTAGGCATTTGCACCTTTCCAGCAACATTTGTTCTTATATCGACAAGGAGATCAGCATTCCCTGTCATGTGGTTACTACAACCACTGTCAATGTACCAATTTCCATTGACATTTTTCTCTGAGATTGCACTATTAGCATAGAACAGATTTCCTGTCACTTCCACCTGATTTGCAGAATTTGCCTTTTGTACACTCTTCCCTACAGTGCATTCTCTAGCCCAGTGACCAAACCTATCACAATTATAACACTTAGGCTTCCCCTTATATCGACATTCACCAAAATGATACTTAGAACACACTCTACACAGTGGTTTGACAGTCTCTTGACTCATTGACTGTGACTGATATGAATTTGGTGCAGGACTAGTGAAAGGTTTCTGTTGGAATCGAGATTTCGAATCCCATTTCTTTCCCTTAGCATTCCAATTCTTTTGGAATTTTGATGAGCCAGATTGGACTCCACTTCTATTTTGCCCCTTTGGACTCACTGAGAATGATGCAAAAGCCTTCTCAGTGGTATCAACATTATGCAAGTCAAATCGTTGCTCTTGACTCTTCAGAATGGCAACCACTTCTTGCAGCTCAACAGACTCTAGACACTTTGTGTTTTCTATAACTAAACAGATGGAATCATAAGGTTTACTTAGACTAATCAGAACCTTCTGCACAAGTCTCTCATTAGAAAGGGATTCACCAAATGTTCTCATCTGATTAATTAAATCATTCAATCTTGTAAGATAACTAGATAAGGATTCATCATCTCGCATTCTAGCATACTCAAATTCTCTTCTAAGATTCTGAAGTTTTACAGATCTAACCTGATCACCTCCATGATATTCTCCATACAGTAGATCCCACGCCATCTTGGCTGAGTCTGCGTTTGCAATCCGAGGAAAAATCTGATCAGAGACTGCGTTTTGTATGATTCCCAGAGCCTTTGCATCTCTCATTAGCACGGTCATCATTTCATCATCGCGATCGACTTCCGATGACCCTTCAGCTTCCTTCTTCTTCGTCTTCGAGTCAGGTGTTGACACTCCCTTTTCTACCAGGTTCCATAACCCGAGAGATTTGAAGATTGTAACCATTTTGATTCTCCAGAACTCGTAGTTCTCACCGGAGAAGATTGGAGTCCTCACTTCCGAGCCTCTAGATCCAGACATAATTTTGATCTGAATCGACAACCTTCACAGATTTTCAGGGGAGCTCCGATTGAGCTCGATAGCTTCACAGATTTACGCCCAGATTGTTAAATCCAACCTGGCTCTGAGGCCATGTTAGTGTTTTGTATGAATGGAAGAAGAAGAAAAGAAGGCACTGAGAATGAAAATGATTGCTATGCTCTCTGCAAGTCACAGAGGAAGCTTTCTTCTTTTCTGTAAAGTATATTTCTCACTCTGCACACACAATCGTGCAAAAGGAATAATTCTGTTAACAATGCTTAGCTGGATCTTTTCCTTCTAGATAAAACGATCACAGCCACTCATCTAGCAATAGCTAGGATCATCACACATGGCACTCATGGCCTTACATATTTAGATCTTACACTTGGCAATTTCTAAGCACAAGTGAATACACAATTAAAAACAGGATTATTCTCAAATACTAATCAGCTCATGGCTTATAGTTCAACACCTTTTGGATGAAATGAATTTTATCGTATAGTAGGTTTAAATTAAAACCAATACCAATTCATGATTACTGCATGAATTGTGACCAAGCCGAGAAGACAAAGACTCCCAGTACTTTGTATAATGTTCCTTCCATTGACAATTATCTTATCGGTAAAAAATACCCATATGATGGAACTCAAAAAAAGATAATAATTTGGCATCCATTGATCTTAATTGGCCATGTTCATAACTTCATTTTACACTCAACAATCTAAACTTCAAAGCGCATTCTGATAGCCCTATGGTCAATTCAACTATTGGTAGGTATCCCTATGATTGGTTCCATGTAACCCTCAATAAGTTCACTTCAAGAGCCTTTTTCAGTTATGAGCACTAAGGGCAGGATGTATACCACATTTTTCTAGCCAACAGGTCCCTCTTTCTTAATAGATGTTGGCAAAGTACCTACTACACTCAATAGAGGAGTTGAATAGTTCCTTTTACCACATAGCAGCCTTGCTGAACTCTTTGCACAGCATTTTCAATTCAAACCTAATAACGCTCAACATCGTTTTTGAGCACATTTCTCACTCCTCTTTAGGAGCTTTGAGCTTGCAATAAGATATTTCTCAGTGGATAACTGCATAAACCATGATTAGTTTTCCATCATGATCACTGGTCAAAGCTGTTCCTAGTTTCTCATAACTGCTTCACATGCCATATTCCTCAGGCTGTCCATCAGTACATCTTATTGTCCCCGAGCTACAGTGACACTTTGGTTGGAATCATAAAGTTCTGTACAAAATAGAGCACACAAAGGGCAAGGTAAAATACATCGCTATAAGGTCTCCCCTTGACCCCAATGAATAATAAAATTACCTTAAGCCTACTGATAGTAATTTCAAGGATTCACACAGAAGTCTAAGAAACAACTCAAATGCACCACATCTTTGCGTATAGTTTGGCACATACTAAACATTGCAACAATATGTCCTCACATGCTTTATGACAACAAGCACCTCCCTGGCTATCATGATTCACTTGTATCAGTCCATAAATTTACACGCTTGAGAAGTCAACTCCAATTTAACTGCTAGTTGCCTACTTTATTCATCTCCTATTGAACCACTCAGTACACAAGTAATAAAGAACGGGGATTGTAGCTCAAGTGGTTAAAAGCATTTACTCATGCACCTGAGTTCCTACGTATTCATGAACATTGATACACCCAATGAAATACTACTTACAAAAATTTCACCCAAAAGGGAAACAACTTCCTCCAGAAGTGTATGTCCACTTAATGGCTTGCTTTCAGCAAGGTACTGGTACGCATAATGCTTGCAACATGCATTCGACAACCAATTCATAAATATATCTATCGACGAATTGAAATGACAGCCATCCACAACAAGGAATACATACACACATATATATATATATATATATACACCGTAAGTATGCATACCTCTGGAACAGGTTGCTGAATTACGGACTCGACAGCAACAACCATAGCTTGCACAAAATCATCCCCTCCAGTTCCAATTGCTGTGAACCCTCTAACAGTCGGGTACGAATTTACCTTAAAACACACGCGCGCGCGCGCAAAATCATACCATTTATATACACAAGCTCATAAAAAATCTTAAAACTTAATTAATGAGCTTTTAAGTCAAAATTAAGACAATGGCCTTCCCAATACCTTTTGATCCAAGTCGACCCATTCATTCGTAGAATCATCCGCCACCGTGCCTCCGATAACCACATTCGTCGTCTGCCCAACCCTACCTTCTGTTTTCGACACCTCTGCATCCAATTCCAACACCAACGAGTCAAAAACACACAAATAGAAAAAATTAAGGTAAAATAAAATAAATTTCGGAGGCTATGCGGCGAGCGAAACCTGAAATTGCTTTCAAGATGGCCTCTTGCGGCGGGCCCTGGTCGTCCTCCGACAAAGCCGGCGAGTTTTCGTTGTGGGAGCAGTTGGGGTGAGTCCGTCGCGCCAAGTGGATGTCTCGGGTCCTGAAGTGGCGGCTCAGCCTGGGGGAGGAGAATCCGCGGGTCCTGAACGAGGCGGAGGCGGAGCTCCGAGCGAGATGAACGGGTCGCCACGCTTCTATAAGCAGAGCGGAGCGGAGCGCAGTCCTGCACGCCATTTCTGGTCCTTTTTCGATTCCGAGAACAGACTGTTTCGTGTGTGTGTGTGTGTGTGTTTTTTTTTCTTTTTCTGTCCCAAAAGATAAATAAAGGACATTCTTTGAAATTTAGAAGGACGAAGTTATCCTTTGAAATTGGCGTTGGTGAGGGGATCACGAAGGGTATAAAAGTCATTTGGAGTGATTGTGGTTGGTTTACCGCTTACGAGGGTATAAAAGTCTTTTTATTTTATGAACTCAACTATTTATGGGAATTTGAATTGACGGATTTGAGAATGCGGATCCGGGCGTAGTAAAGTTGGCGTTCATTTTAATTCGTTGTTTTGTATTTTTAGATTAAATTAATTTAAATATCGCTTGAACAAAAAATAAATAGTTTTATGGATTTGAATTCATAAATTAGTTAATGCTGCAATGTGAAGTCCTGGTATATGAGTCACCAATGTTGTAACATATACATCCTTCCTTTTGGAAACCTTACAGGATTTTATTTCATTCCTGGAGCACTGAGTGTAGAGGAAAAATGCCAATGGACAGAGGAGGGTTTAACCAGCTTCCCGCAGCCTCTAATAGAACCAATGACAATGCATTTCGATCAATTCAGATTCTTTCTTTTCTATTGATTCTTTTCCGATTGAGATGTATGGATATTACGGGGTCAATTAATGATTTATTATCTGCGGCGAACGAGGGAAAAGTCTTGGCTGCAGAAGGGAGTTCAGATTCTGAATGTAATTCTGCTGTCAGCAAAGGGGGTGCCAACTGCCACGGGTGGAAGTTCTTTGAAGAACATCTAGTGTCACCAAAGGGAAACTCAGGAAAATCAGTTTCAGCTTCAATTTTATTGCAGAAACTGCGTTGGAGCACCCTTGGCCTGCAATTTGAATGGTCCAAGGTAGGCGTTGGTCCAATTTTTCTTTTCAATCTAGAAAGCATATCGCGCATTGTGCATTTTCACTAAACAAACGTTGCACACCACTTGGACGCTACCCTGATTTAGGCGAGAATAAACAGAAACTACGCTTTCATGCTAGAAATAATTGTTACCCTTCGTAGGAAATGAATAGTTTCTAATATTTGTTGGTAAATCAGTTCACTTTGAGGTTATGTTTGATGCATTCGAGTTGCCGCACAACACATACCTAACTAATAAATTTATGTTCACGGTGCAAGGGAACTATGATGTTTCTCTTCCACATAACAAAATCCCTGATACGCTTTGTCCCTGGCTAAAAGACTGGCAAAACCTGCAATGCCTCTGGGTGAAGAGTTCCAGCCTGAAGGTGCAATAGTCAATTACTTTGGCCACCTTGATGACATGGAATTTACATTTGTTGTGTCTTCTGGTTTTTTGTCTAGGTGATATGCTTGGGGACATCTTGATGACATAGAAGCTGATTGGAGTAAGCCTACCGTAAGCATGAGGTAGCCATTTCATTTTTGTTTTTCGATCCTGGTTGTTCATCAACAAATGTCTCACTTTCCTCGGTTCAGGCTGCAAAGCAATTTTCCTTTTGGGCGGAAAGCTTAGGGAGGATCCTCCAACAGCAATGTTCCTTCGAAGCGGTGATGTTCTACTTATGGCCAGGAATCGAGGGAATGCTTTCATGGTAGATGCGTGCCTCGGGTATTCACTGATGGAGAAAATGCTGAAATTGTGCCTCTTGAGAAGCATTTCTCTGACGATACAGTTAAATTCCTTCTCATTGAATTTTCGGTTTCCGAAAGAATTTTTGGCGATACAGAATTGTAGGAGGTGGTGCTACACAAGGACGTGGGAGAGTTACAACGACGTGGGTTTGCACCCGTGAATGTGTGGCTCATTACAAGTTAAGAAGAAACAAGAGAAAATAAGTATGAATGCAGGCATCATTGATTATCCAAAAGAAAAAGGAAATGGAGCAATGCAAGTGGCATCGGTCATTTGATTGTGAAATTGAATCTAACGTGTGTGATAATATCATTGGGAGTGGTTTGTTATTTTTTGTAATAAGGGTCAGTTTGGGATTGTTGTGCTTTTTAAAAAAAATTGTTTTTGCTGTGTTTTAAGAATGATCAGATGTAAAATAAAGCTAATGAGCATTTGGCTAACTGAATTTTAAAAGTGTTGTGAGTATAAAAAGCAACGTAAAAGCGTTTGGTAAAATTTAATGTAAAAGTGATATAAATGTATACAATAACAAATGTTCATAATAGTAGGAGTGGGGGTGACGACAATAGTGGTGGTGGTTGCGGCAATGATGGTGGTAGTGGCAGCGATGACAGTTGTGGTAATGATGCATGGTGGTGGTGGTGGTGGCGATGGCGACATCGATGGTGGTAACAATGGTGGCAGTGATGGTAGTGGTGGTGGTAGCGATGGTGGCGGTGGAGGTAATGATGGTGGTAACAATGGTAGTGTTTACCTTTTTCTCTAAAGAATAAAATGCGTGTGGAAAGCTAAATAATGTCACTTAAAAAAAAATTAATCAAGGTATACAACAATTGAAAATATTTATTAAAGACCTAAATCTGCTTTTTATTAAAGCAGCTTTTAAAAGTAACCTACAAACTGCTTTTAAAAGCTGTTGTTTGGAGCTCGTAGCTTTTAAAATAAGCAGAATAAACACTTTTTTTACTGCTTAACTTTAAAGTGAAGCAATTTTTAGTGAAAAAAACAATATCAAACTGGGCCTAATTCATAGTACATATGCTCTTGCCGTGCAAATTTGTAGTTTTTCCACAACTCGATTTTGTAGGTTGTGCTGGGGCCTAAGAAAATATTTGTACCATCTTTGGAAAAAAATTGAAGCTAATGGATGCTAATTGTTTTTTTATGCTCAATATTCTCCGTTTTAAATGCAAATTAAAATTCAAACTAACTTTAGCCCCCAAAAAAATTAAAATTAAAATCATAAAACCAGAAAGAAAAAGAAATGTTGACAGTGGGATTTGAACCCACGCCCTTTCGGACCAGAACCTTAATCTGGCGCCTTAGACCAACTCGGCCATATCAACTACTTGTTACAATATGCTATTTTCACTTAAATAACGTAATAGAATACACCGCGCCAATCACAAAATAAGTTGTTCAACTTTAGGAAACATTGATTGGAGCAAAATATTCATAAAGATTTACACTTAAATTGGATATCACCAAGCCTGATAGTGTGAACTTGTAACTAAGCAAAGCAATAATGTGATTGATGTATGATGAGAGTAAAAGTGTTTTAATTTTGGTCACCATCTTCTTATACGTGTGGGGTCACTTACCACGCCTTAAACTACTTGAGTTAGTAGAGCAACGATCCACGTCAAGATAATTATTTACATTTTGTGAGACTTGACATGTCATGACATACATTTTACAAGGCTTGACACGCCCTGAACATATCATGACATCCATTTTGCCTTTCAGGCACTAGTCCCACAGATGGACAATAATTTGCCTAGCGTGATGCTTGACCTCACCCCTCATCCTACATTGCATTCTTTTTTTTTGTTCCTGAATTAGGAGTGAAATATTTTATTTTATTTTCCAAGTTGTGAGCATGTCTAAGTTTTGCAAAATTTTCTCCATATCTCCATTTTTGGTATTGTATCTCAATTGAGATTTTTTGTAGATGCTTATGTTGATATGTTCTTATCTTTATTTCTCAATAAGACTGTCAAAATTAGTATTTAACAACTTGGTTGTGAAATTTTTTTTGAGAAAAGTCAAAATCAGTATTTTATATAATTATATGTCGGGCTAGGAAAGATCTAATGTTCGTGTACTATTGTCAAAGTTGTGAGTGTGCCTACAATTTCGCTGAAATTTCCTCAATATCCCCACTTTTTGGTAACGTATCTCAATTGAGATTTTTGGCAATGTTTATGTTGATATGTTCTTATCTTCATTCCTCAATAAGACCGTCAAAATCAGTATTTAACAGCATGATTGTGAGAAATTTTCAGAGAAACAATCTAGTTTTGGGGATGAAAATTAGAGACAAAGGTCTGCCCAAGATAGCTCTTTGTGCTTGAAGTTCATCAACCAACATAGTTCGTATAACAAAGTAATTACTCATATCTCGATTTGAATTTTTTCATATACTAATATTCATTTTAGATTTGATCAAAATCGCTATTCTAGATATTCATTTATGACTTCCAAGTATTAAGTTCAAGGATCAAGATTGTTCAAGCTGAAATTTCATTGTTTGAAGCTGAATTCTAATCACTTTCTAGATCCACATACTTGTTGAAGCTAAGTTATGAACATGGTTTAAAAGTTTGAGAATATCATCAAGACTTTTTTGATATTTTCATTTTTCTTCAGGAGTATCGTTATTAAATTCAATATTTTAATGATGTTTTATTTAGATACTTAAAATTTTCTTATGGTTTTTTCACAATTTAACTTCATAATATTTTTTTTTAATTTTCTTTCTTTATCTTCATTTTCGATATTTTTCTTACATCGGCATTTAATAGATTTATGATAAATTTTCATTTCTTTTATTTTTGTTCCGGATCGAACAGAAAAGTGGCTTGGAAATGTTGAGGTGTGAGCGGCATACGATGGCGATGATGGGAATCTCTAGGTATTATGTTATATAGTTCGTAAGGTGATTTTTGGGGGTCCTTTCCCAATGTGGATTGGTTAACTCTAAAGCAAATAGTGAAATCTATTTCAGAAAGATCCAGTTCACTACTTACTTTTAGAGTTTAGCCAACTAATTCATAAAATGTGATAAAAAAGGATGCAAAGACGTGAATTTTCAAGTAGGAAATTATGAAGCGGGAAAATTACTCAACAAGACAATGTCGTCATATTTAGGTTTTTCTATATGTGACATTGTATTATTGGATCTGAATGTCACAGTAATGGTTAAAATGATCTATATAAGTGCTCTCATCCACGGGAAGGATAAGTCTGATAATTATATTAGGACTTGTCTCCCTACTGGAATGAATTGACAACTAATTAACATCCATAAAAATTTCAAAACTAATTAACATCACACCTAAGTTTGACAATTTTTTAACCGATCTACTAACACAACGCGAAAGGACACTAAAATAACCTTGTTAGTCTGAGACGAAACACACAACCCATTAATCAATCGAATCGCCTCCTAAAAATTTGTTAAGATAATAAATTTAACACGATATATCTTGTTAAGATAATATAAACTCTCAACAAACGTGACAAACACAATATGTTTTTCAGGCCTATCACACCAGAAAATCTTCCAGCGGTGTGCAAGAAAAAGAAAAAAAAAACCAAGTGGTACAATCCTACCAGTAGCGTGGAAGGAAGAAAAATCAATAAAATACAAAACACGTCCGCAAAATTCCAAATCTTCGACGTGCTTAAAAATCCCACCCAGCGGCGTTTACGTGTTCATTCCCTTCACCACTTTAATTTTTCAATTTTTTTGCAATAAAACCCCAAAAATTAAATAATAAAATTCTTCATTCTACACCTTTCGCTTATTTTCCTCCCTCTTTCTGCTCTCTCCTCGTTATCTGCCACATCAGCAACAATGGGAGGTCCGATCGTGCTGACTCAGCTGGCCACCGGTCTCGGCGTCTTGGCGGGCGCGGTCTTGGTCAAAACGATCATGGACCGGAACACCATGGCCGGCCCGTTCCCGCGGTGTCCCAGGTGTAACGGAACGGGTCGGGTCTCGTGCTTCTGCTCCCGCTGGTCCGACGGCGATGTTGGGTGTCGGAGTTGTGCCGGGTCGGGTCGTACGTTATGTAGCAGCTGTGGTGGGTCGGGTACGGGTCGGCCACTTCCGGTTCAGATCTCCGTACAGCGTCCCAACCCTCCGTCTTAGCTGGGTCAGTTCTGCTTCTTATTAGAAAGTCAGAGAATTTCTCTCTTTCCTCACAATTTTTTTCCAAAAAAAAAAAAAAAAAAATTGTAGAAACTACAAAAAACTAGATCTTGTATTATAGTAAGTTAATGATATTTTGAGAGAAGGAGAGGAGGTGAGAGTTCATCATTCGGCTGTAATGAGGTGACTTTCCTTCAAATTAATATATTTTTATAACTAAATTTGTCTGCTTAATTGATAAATTAGTTACCTTTAAGTGTAAATTGTATTGGGTTCCACTGAATTTCACAATTTAGTTTACTCAAGTTTAATTAGAATTTTAGTATTTGCTGCTTAATTTATTGCTTGTGGCCACAAAGTTTGTGTTTATTCATTTTTTTGGGTTTATTTTCGTATCTGTAACTTGGGCTTTTGTGCAAACTACAAAGCAAGAACCAGAGTTTGGCAATTTAACGAGTGAACAGAAATCTTACCGTCCAATCCTTGTGTTTAGTTAACTAACTAATCTGGTGTTGATTTCAGGACTTTGGTCCGAACAGTTTCTCTTCGAGAAATGATTTCCGTACATGTCTCTTTTTCAGTTCTCTAGTGTTTATTTTTATCCTGTAATTCTTCAGAAATGTGTGGTAACGGAAAGAATGGGCGGAAATCACTTTTTTTTTTTTTTTTTTTTTTTATCTCCAAACCAACTAACATGAATTTGGCTTCCATGAGCCTTAGCTTCATAAAAGCTGAATGCTTCCAAAACAAATAATTGTCCTTTTGTTTTCAACTTGTGGGGAATGGAAATGAATCATTTTCGAATCATTTCTTTCTAATTCATTAAGTATGGGGATCCGGACTATTGAAATTTGATATAACATTGGATTAAATTTCAATGTCTTGGTCAAAGGAAATGATTGATAAATTAGATTTTGAATATAATATGCATGATTTGATGGTTAAATCTGGGAGTGCCTCCACTCCATCTGGAGCTCACCTTCCTGATTAAATTATGTTGAGGCTGAGAGCCTTGTGGATGTTAGTTGGCAACTTGGCATCCAAGTGGATGATTAAGTACCTTGTACAACTTTCAGATGAAAGGGGAGGAGATTCTGATTACATATACACGAACGATAATCGTTTTCGGATTCTTTATAAGGAAAACTAATGAAAATAATTTGAAAAATTTTAGTTTTAATAAAAACCTATGTTATAAGTTTTGTTTAATGATTAGTACAAGGTCCATATTAAAGTAGTCTAACTAAAAGTGACCAAACTATAATAAATTATGATTTATCAATTTTACCCCTAATTTTTTTAGGTTGAGTTCCAGATTTTTGTCGTTAATGGAGGTCATTGTTGTTTGAAAGACCTTCTTTTTCTTTGAAACAAAATTATAGATCCTCATGCTATTTAATTTATATTTTGTATTATTTCGTTGAAATGTGATCGTCGTTATTATTCATAGTGTATTCGAGGTACTGTTTTTCAATTTTTTTTTCGTCAGTGAAGTTCATTGTTTGTTTCTCCATAAAATAAATTTGAGATCTGCATGCTATTCAATAATAACGACGGGTCACTGTTTCTGAATTTTAAGTAACACTGTTTCTGGAATCTAAGTTGCTGTTTTTTGGATTTAAGTCACTGTTTCGGAATCCAAATAAAATAGACATACTGTTTCTTAAATGTAAGCTAGAAAAGAAATAGTGAAATTCATTGTATTTGGATTCAAAGCAAAATAAGCACTCTGTTTCTTAAATATAATCAACTGATGCATGAAAGAAAAGAAACAGTCAAAGGTTAAAACATAGATTGTTTCTGGAATCTAAGTCATTGTTTCTGAAATTTAAGTTACTGTTTCTAGATTTTGGTTCTTTTCTTTCCAAATACAGTGTTTGTTTGTGCACAGATAAATCAAACACTAAATCTGATTTTTTTTTTTTCCAGAATCAGTGTTATGTTTTGGGTTCTCCAGAAACAATTTATGTTTCGGTTCTTTCTTTTTTTCCAGACACTTTTTCGTCGATTTCTGCCATTAAACTTCTTTGAACTTGTTTAGGCAGCTTTGTTCCGATGAATGCTTCATTTTTCAACTTTGATTTGGTTGTTTTTTAAATGGGGGAATTCGATTTGATATGAAGACAAAGAGTTATTACGGCGGTTTCGTTATGGGTTGAGGTTAGTGAAGAGTCATGACAATATTAAATCATTTAAGGATATTTACGAAAGCGTAGATTTGTAGCGGCTTGGGCTTGTAAGTTTGACCCGTTGACAATAGTTTTGGATGATTTTTTATTAAACTTTGAGCCCTTTTGGTTAAATAACATTTTGGGATGATTTTTGGTTAAATATTTGTTGGCCTAGATCCTTTTCATTAAAGCTCCCTTCTTTTTATGAGAATCTTGAAAATTTATAAATCATGTCCGTTCATCGTATTTTGTATAGTGTGTGGTCAGTTTTTGTCAGATACTATTTGTATTCAATTTTAAATAAAAAATTTAAAATAATTTTTGATCACACGATATATGATAAACATACATGATTTATGGATCCCCAAAATCCTCACAAAGAGAATCCAAAGAGGATCCTCATTCCATATGCACAATTAAAGCTTGTTAAAAATGATATTAAATCGTGATTAATATACAGCTTATATCAGTTTATTAGATCCGCACGTTTAATTTTGAGTAAAACCTTGTAACCGGTTTTATTGTATATAATTCCCAAGCTATTAGATAAGAACATCGGTTCACATGATTGAAACTTCGAAATCGCTTAATTTTAATAAATAAGACTGCAATCTGACTGTATGTTTGAGGCTTTGAGCATCTTCTCCCTGTCTACACAAACCAGGATTTGGATTTTTTAGAAGTTCATGTTGTTTAACCTTTTCGTAATGAATATTGTGGTCCAAATAAATCCCAAGTTGAGTTCTTTCCACGAAAAAAAGAAATCGTTTTGAAGTGGATTTGTAACTCGAGTGATTTAGAACACTTGTTAATACATTTGTAGTTCTAGGTTCGATAGTTCCCTCCAATATCGCAAAACAGTAGTCTACATATTTATAAGTTCCGATTTTGTAGGTCACCAGCTGATTTCATACATATTGGAACGAAGGTTCCAAATATATTTTTGTACACAAGGCAAGCAAATCAAATTACAAGTTTTAAGTCCTACCAACGTTGCCCCTTCTCCTCACGCACTTGAGTCCCAATTATAATTCTCCTTCCTTCCTCACTTGGGGGAAAAAGACTGTCAAAAACCAACCAAAACAAATACATGTTAACCCTATTAAGAAAACCCTAAACATGTTCTCAAATTAGTGTAAATCAATTTAAACTGTACTAATTGCACTTACAGCAAAAATGGTGGCATGGCCGGGATCAGCGAGGTGAGCGAAGAGGTTGTCAATGGGGCCAGTCCCAGTGTAAATGTGCTGGAACCAAGCTCCCATCACAGCCAACATAGCTAGCCTTCCGTTCTTGATCTCCTTTGTCCTCAACTCCTTGATCTTCTCAGGCGAGCCGCTTCCCCATCCAAGTGGGTCAAACCAGAGCCCTCCGGGGTACCCAACATCTGTCCCGGTGAGCTTGTTGTTGGGGAAGATTGGGTCTGTGTTAACAGACCCGGGCTTGAGGATGTCCGCCCATCTCCTTCCCTCGGCCCACCCGATCAAAACAAGTTCAACGACGAAGAGAGTGGTGGTGTCTGTGAAGTACTCTTGCTCTCCGGCTGTGTACCATGATGGGGTGTTTAGAATGCCAATTTTGGTCAAGAATTCGGGGATGAAGATTCCGGCTGCGCCGAGCATTGCCCATCTGCAGTGTACAAGCTCCGCTTGCTGGTTCCATTTCAGGCTGTCTGGGTCAGATGCTGTACTTACAATTTAATAAACATTATTAGTTACAGATTTCATCAGCATTTAGAGATCATGTGAGAATTAGGGTTAGGGTTTAGTAACACTGGTGTTGAACTTACAAAGACCAAGCGGATCAAAGCCAAAGTCTCCTGGGAGGCTGCATTATTGTGGCATAATAAACACGTAATCAGAAACTAGCAAAGAAGATGTAGACTATATAAAGAAACATATAGAATATAGAGTATTATTTTTAGAGTTCACATGTTAGTAACAAAAAAGACTAAATGTTGCTAGACAGTCCGATAAGAGAACATTTATATGTAGGTATACGAAACATTTTGGACCGACCTTCCATCGAGCCATGGTGGAGGGGTGCTTCCCGGAAACCACAGAGGTCTATCAGGGTCAGCAGCAGCAGCACGTACTGTAAAAGATGACGATGATCCGGTGGGTGCTGTGAAGCTTCTCACTCTCAGCTTCCTTCCACCAAAGAAAGAAGCCTTGGTCGCTGCCAAAGTAGCCCCACCCTTCTGGGAGCTGCAGTATAATCCATATCCTTGTTGTATCAATTAAGCAAACGTGACTAAAAACAAAGCTCCAAATTTCCACTAAACCATGCAAGAGCAAGTAATTAACCACAACATTAAGTTAATTAATTACTAATTACCGTGAAGATACGGCAACGGTTGCAATGGCGGAAGAGGAAGCCCAAGCGGAGGCCATTTTGTGAGACTTCAACCAAACCTTGCTGCTTGTTTGATCTGTGAAATTGGATGGGGGGTTTGGAGTGTTTGGGGAGAGAGAGTTAATGTAAAGAATTGAAGGGCTTATCTTGTAGGATAGGAGAGTGGTGTCCGATTGGCTTTTGGATTGCCATGTGGCATGCAGAATCTGAAAGTGGGCCCCTTCATTCCCTCCACCTCCAGTTGTTGAGCTTACCTGGAAAAATCACAAACTGGTGGTTTACATTACAAGTCAGAGTCACCAATATATCTGAGAACTGATTGCAACCAATGAGGGCATCGTATAAGGAGGCCAAGTAGATATCTGATATTCTCACATAAGGTAATGTTTATTACCCAATTCAATGTGTATGAAGCACGTATAACACAACATCAACACAAGCTTGAATCCAATGATTATCCAAAGTTCTCGAACAGACATAACAATCACGTCTTATTTGTAACGTTAAAGCCTCATTTGGTAGCCGTATTAGGCCATATTTCACCAGACTAGATTGTACTCAAATACATTGACTTGTATTGTAATGTGTTGGAGAAGTTATCGTTGGTTTTCTTCTTGGCAAATTCTTGATGTAGTTCATTGAGATTTGAAGCACATCCCTCTTACAAGCCGGTTTTTGGGAGTGAGTTCTATCCA